TGAGTTTTTCGCGAAACGCGTAGGAAGCTCAAGAGTTCCCCAACTCCTCTTTCTCCTTGATCTTGTTCATTCATTATTTTTGCACGTACGAGAATGTTTCTATTCATCTTCACCACAGAACGAATGATACCCGAGCTCTCCAACCAACTCCTTCTTCAAAAAAGCGACGTTAAATTCTAGAGCTTTTGTAGGATTACATGATGAAGGGTTGCTACCTAATTTAGGTTCGAGTCACCTGGTACACGATTTTTGTGGAATTCAAAGCAAATTTTCCGCCATGAGCCTTCATTAACATTATTTATTCAAATATACTATTGTGTGTCGTCGATTCGAAGACTTATCCTTATGTTCTTAAAAAATATTTAAAAAATTAGTTTGAAATTCAAGAAAATCTTATACTCGTTTTCATATGAAGTATATGACTCTGTAAGGATTTTTTTGCAGCCACTTCTGTGACATGAAGAGTATCATCTTCCTTACCATTTCATCCACCTGTAATATGTGCTTACATTGCTTTTGTACAATTCGCTTTTCGGTCGAAAATAGATGGAGAAATATAATTCGTTGGAAATTGCTGCTGCAGCATATTCAGCACATTTTTATTTACTGTATTTCCTTATTTGTAACTACATGATAAAACCTTACTTTGGTAGTTTACATTTTTAATAGCTGTTTCCGGAAACTTTTAGCTTGTTGAAACAATCCATTCCTGATTAGTCGAAAAATATGCCCGCTTGCTCTTCGAATACGTTTATTCTATTAATCAACAATAGCATGCACTTGAAGCTGGGCATTCAGTAAAGTACAAGAAATAGGTAGGCGGAGTGCGTTCAGTGAAGCCATCCGAGGTTGAGTTTATTTCAAATAAGAAATGAGAGACTTTTACCACCGAAAATAAGTTGTAAAAATGCATCATTCGAATTGAATGAAGTAGATATCGTCATCTATCAAAATAGAATAAATGCATGCCAAAGGAAGATTAACCACCAGCAATAATGAACAATGCTGCCGGTGAGGTGATGAAAAATGGGTCCGGACGCAGTTCTGAATATCGCCTTTGCCGTTTATCCCAGTCACTGCTAAGGACGTCGAAGATGAGATTACATTCCGAAGAGCGTATCCATGCTCTCAAGTTGTGCAACTTGGGCACTCGATTAACCTCTACCCCAGGGCTTCTCAAGAATTCGAACTCGCTCGGAGAGTTTTCATTTTCGAACAGCTCAGGTAAGGGACTTCGGTGAGACCAATGGTTCTCAATCTGGAGCTCCGCGGGGGCGTTAGGCTTCCACATGAGCTTTCCAGCGGTCCCACAAATTTGTCATAAAGGATGAAGCGGACAAAGTTCTTCTTCTGTAAAAACTGTATAAACCCACAAGAAGTAGCGTTTCAGAACCAATTATTAAGTTAAGTGAGATTTCCTTTTCATTCACACTGCTGTGAGCAGCTAGCCCCTTCAACTTTTTTCCAACTGCTTCAACTTTGAATGAACATGCTCCAATTTCATGTGAAAGTAAAACAAGGTTAATTTAACTTGCTTTAATTGGACAAAGGTTCCCTTCTGGAAAATAAACAAAACTCGCGTCACCGATGAGTTTCTACCACGAAAGCCAACAACTGAAGAAACCAAAGACCTCTCACATGAGAAAAAAAGCGAGAAAATCCGAAAAAATTTAAGATTAAATGTTCGGAAAGGTAATACTGTAATTGTTTGTACAGGATCTTAAAAATTCGCTACAGCAGCAATTTTTTTAGCAAGTTGCCTACGGCATTTTTGCAGGGACCTTTTAAAAGTTCGTTCTACAGGCAATGTATGTACAATACGATATATATGTAATATAAGTAATAACGGTTTTCGATGTCATTCGTTATAACGGCATTCTTTGTAACGGGATTTAACCTTTACTAAGAAATATGACAAATTTTAAGAAGGCAATAATAATACGGAACTCGTGGTTAAAACCAAATGCCAAAGATCTCTGCCATAGTTGTCTGTTGTCTTTCTTTTCACAGAAAAAAAAAAAAAAAAAAACAGATGGGTGGCCGCAAGAGGCTCATCCACGCGTGCATACTTTTTTAGATACTCCGTGGCTTAAAATAAATGCGAAAATAATTTCTGCATTGAAAATAGTTTCAAAATTTTTGAGTAACCGTGCAAAGTTGGAATCCACTTAGACTGATCTGAGCAAAATGGACGCAATTAACATCAACCTTTTTGATTTTTTTTGCAGGGAATGAATGAAAATCTCGACATCATTTTCTTTTCGCAGACATTTTTGTCGATGATCGTTTCATTTATTTTAAATCCGAGTCCCGAGGAAATCCTTTCGCCGAGTATGTAACAGCGTGGTGCGAGAATTTTTTAATTCACTGTCGAACCGAGGAGCCGCTGAATTTAAAAACCTTCTCGTATGTACGGTTTGATTTTTATAAGAAAATCGTTCAGAAATGTCCCGAAGTTCGGAGTCAAATCTAAGATGAATTTCATTGCCGGGAAAAAGGAATCTCTACTGAAGCTCTCAAATTGTGATTCTTCGTAGAAGATCACGAGCAAGAGAGAGAAAGAGGGGATTACAGAGAGAATAAACCGATAAACTCGCTTCATCAGCTGAATCAGCGGCGCAGTTAAAAACAAACAAGACAACGTTTGGCGGGAACCCCAAATTTTTTGCTCGGTACAAAGCAAAGAGAACGTAACGAGGGCATAGAAAGCATGCCGCATTTGTAACGAGGTCGGCGAGCATGCAGATAAACGCTTTAGGACCGTTCTGCCGACGTCGAGTGGCCCTCGCGATAGAAAACCGAACGGGCCCGGGTGTCGGGTCCGGCGGGTTTCTTCCGCTCTCCGAAAAAGAAGCCGCGCAAAGGGAAGCACCCACTTGCCGGCATTCCCACTTGCGGCCAGTCGACGGAAGACGCTCAACCTCGCCGCGCGATAAAGAATATCTTCTCTTCCAGAGACCCACACATCCACTATCTCTTATTTTCGGGAAATGGTCAAAGAAAAAACCCCGCCAAAAGCGACGTGAAAGTGAGTACCGCATTTACGCGATAATGGGTCGTATGCGTACACAGTATATAGGAAGCATCCTGAATTGGGGCAGTGATTCGAAGGGGAAAAAAAGATCGCGAATAATTTCTAATTTCAGATGATATACTCGGCGACAATAAACCAGATACATTTCACCTTATTTTGATTTTTCCTGCAGACACCTAGAGTATAAGCCACAGCTTTAAGACAGTCGTGTGACCTATTATCTCGAGTAAGGAACACCTCCTACGTTTTCCGACGCATATGTGGGGGCGGTTGGCTTATATACAGGAGTACATAATACTGTACTATACATGCATAGTTAAGATCTTTGTATACTCAGTCTCGACTGTCTATTTGTTCTTTTTAGACACAATTCCTTCCAGAATCACCCTGTTATCTCTGCTTGAAAAAATCCCTTTTAGCACTCTTTCGTCAAACTGAGCTCTCTGAGATTATCTCTATTTCATTCTAAGCCTAGTTGATTGCATACAGTCGGTTTGTTCTGTATGTGCCCCAATTTTAGGTCACTTTCTGATTATGCACGAATAACGAAAGTTAAATTTAAAATTCATGAAATACTTGAAAAGCTCTACAAAATACCAGAAAATCATTTTTTTAATTTTCCTGAAAATGTTCTTGCTTTAGTATTTATTCCACATCATTTTCCGCTTATTCAATTTTGCAATATCCAGATTATCTCAAGTATATTCTAATCACTGTGAACATATATTGAATGAAACAAATCTAGTTTCTTTAAAGAGAAAATTGTGGCCTATAATCTCGTCATACCCGGTGTCAAATGTTTTTAGAGATGACAATTGATGAGTTTCCTGCAACGGAAAAACTGCCACTATGGCGAAGTTGCATTAAAATTTGCTTACCCACACACTGTATTCTAGGATTCCACAGGGCTCGGATAAGGGTGACCTGGGGTGAATGAACTGGTTGGAACTGCCAAAGGTCAGGGGAGAAACGGAAAAACTCGACCTTTTATTTTCTTGGGATGAATGCAGCAATCAATTTTTTTCAAGGAGAAACAAATCTAGTCCACGATTACAAGAGAAAAGGATGAAGTGTCAGGCAAAAATGGAACTGAACTCGATCTCGTGGGCTGGGGTGTGGAGAGTCACTCGTCACCCTGGAGCTGTTCTTATTTGATGGGACCAGGAAAAGAGAATAATTTTGACCAGACCAAAAATTAGCATAATCACGCATTAAAATATCACGCTCGAAAAAGTTCGGAAAACGGTGAACGAACTGCATGGAAGTATGTACTGTAATCCAGATCGGAAGAAAATCTTGAACTGCTTGCTGTCTCGGGATACGCGAAAAAAAAATTGTGCTCGCAATAATCGGACGAGAGAATACAATATTCATAGAAAGCGATAGGTCTTGCCTCGAAATTGAAATTACGCTGATTTCGGTGGGGAGGGGGGGGGGGGGTGTATAGCACGACTCATACTGCGATTGGTCTCACTGAATGCGTCAGATGAAATTGCAAGAAAGGTCGGAAAAACTTCGGAAAACTTGGAGCTCGTGCTGCCTTATGGGGCAACATTTTTTTTCTTCTCTTAGCAGCAAATTATTTCGGTGGGCGAGAGGATAAAACAAACAAGAGAGAAATTAGAAGAAGCGGGGAAGTGTGTCAAAGAATTAAAGTGAACTCTGGTATCGGAAGGGGGGGGGGGGGGGTTGGGGGTTTTTAGGGGTGTATAGCCCTACGCGCCCAGGCCGGGGTGGCCCCACTCACTGAATGAACGCAACAGGCGGTTACTCACCATGATGCCGGGAAGTGTAGTGCAGCTACTGGTCTCACAGAGGAAATCACGACGGAGCCCCGGTGAAGAAAGCTCGATGATACCTCGGAGGCTCGCGGCCATGAATTGCCGTTGCTCGCGGGGGTTGCAGCAGAGGTGCCCTGGGCAGATGCAGGCGGGTTAGAAGTACGACCCCGGATGCGTGGGCAACGTCACGACAGTGACGTCACGGCAGGGGGCTCGTCGAGAGACGAACCCGCCTTGCTTTCCGCAGCGTACGCATCCTCCCACTTCCCGCAACTTTCTTCTCTCCTATGGCGGATGTGTGTGTCCGGGGCACTGGAATCAAGCCTAGAGGCCTGTCCTGAGGGGATCTCCAGATCTTTCCTATAAGGGGGGAAAACGCGCTCTTATTCGACAAACTTGATAACCAATACCACGGATGAAACAAAAATACGCAATTCATTCTCGATACACTACCGTACCCCGAGGCTGAAGTCGGTTACGTCCTGAATTCCCCAGGGAGGGAATTCTGAAAAGTTGGGGGTTTAAAACGTATTCTCAAGATAGGAAAAACGCGTCTGAGAGCCCAATTAGTCGGTGCTGCTTCAACTTCTAGACCTGTTTACGATTAAATATAATTTGAATCGGCCGCATAAAACTAGGTACTGTACATGTAATTCAATGCTGTCGATTGCATTTACGTTATTTTCCCATGCAGCAATGAAACCAACATATTGGCCAATTGTAGCCTTGACTTGGACACATTTTCGCTGATTACAACAATGAAAATCAGCTTGTCTAGTGAAACAATAACGAGGAGATTAAAAACTTTTAAAATCGAAACTTGGTTTCAAGGCACAAAAACTCATCACTGATGAGAGGGGCCTTGATGAACATTTAGAAATTAAACCGCTAGGTTTAAAAAAATCCTTAAACTATTCAACTGTGACAGGTGAACGAAATTTCCTCACAGTAATAGGCAACACTTACAGTTGTCTGGCTTCTCTCCATTTCAACTTGGGGGAGAAAAAATTTAACAGTAGCCATGAAATAATCGATCATTGCATTGACTTTGAAATTTACGAGCGTCTTCATTCAAAAATATTAATGACAAGGAAAGCACAAGATCAACATAACTTATGAGCCAACCCACGAACTTACTGACCCGCATCACTTCATGCTCCGGCATATTATTAAAGGCGCGAATTGAGTGGGCAACCAAACTGCGGGTATATCAGAATACCTTTCGTATAAACCAGCTCAATCCCCCTCTGCAACTGAGCTACGCTGGGCTTCAGCGTGGGTGACATTACCCCCGCTGTTGTGCGTAAGGTAATCTTTATGGATGGGGGTTCAAGAAGCTTTGCTAAGAGCCCGCTGACCTTGTTCGGGAGCAAACCGGGCCCTAGACCTGGCCACTCTCTTCTGAAAAGAGCCTGTTACCAAGAGGGATCAGCTGGCCGGATGCCGAATGTGAGATCCCCACCATTTTCTGGCTCCCATCCTCTCAAATTCACTACACGACAAGGCGTATCTCCCCAATGAACTCGCCTTAGATCCCAAATACGGTTCCTGCTCCCCATTTCCTTCGTCTGAAAATTCAGGCTGCGTGATAGCTGGAAATATGAGTGCCACAGAAAGACTCCACTAAAACGTTTCCCATGCTCACGCCCATATAAGAGAGAGTATTTGCAAAAAATTCCTGCTAATTTATTTTTAAGTATGTATCGAATTAAACGTTGAAAAAAGGCATTGATGCTCTCGAAAAAAGGAACTTGAAATTTTGATTTAATTATCCGTTTCTTAACTAATTTACCTTTCATCTACGAGAGGGATTTCCTGTGCTTCTTCATCGAAAAGGGAACAAGGCGAGTGCTGTACTTTAAAAATTGGATATCAACATGCTTTACTTGTGTCACATAAATAGGGGTGCATAGATTAATGCTTCACCTCATACGCAAGTGAAATCCATCACAGATAGACTGTTTTAGGCCTTGAACGTTTTAAAACACACTTCATGCTTTTTTGAAGCAGAGCATTATGCACCGCAAAAAAGTGATGCATGCTATGTGAAATGAGCATTATTCTCGTAGATCACGGACCTTTTAAAATTTTTGCGTGTCAAGAAAAACCTCTTCACGTCGGTACATCTATGGATTCGAAATGTTTCCATGGAGGAAGAAAATTGACTAAAACTGATTTGACATCACTACAAAATTATGCGTGCAAAAGAGGAATAAAACGTCGTGTGCGAAGATCTGAAACGGTGTGATGGAGCGTATATGCATGAATGACAGGGTACATCGTGTGGTGGAAAAAGCGGGTAACTTTCTTTCTGACAGACCGATGAAATATTATGAAATTAAGATACAATAACAGTATTTATGTAACTGGAAGGAACATCGTGAATTTATTCTATACAAAGAAAAAATAAACTTGGGAATGCCAGTATAGCTTGTAATTTGTTCCCTGATGAAAGTATTTGTGCAAAAAATAGCAGATCTTGCATGAAATGGATTTATGTATTCTGTTTTATCAAACCTGGTTCCGAACTTGGATTTCATGTTATCGTTCACATAATGTCTCTTAATCTTGTCCTGTTCGATTTCGAAATGTTTTCGTACAGCAATTATAAATATCCTCGATCCAGAAAACTTGATTTGTTTATCCATCCTGCTATATTTGCGACCCAAAATTTCATCGTAGAATTCTTGGTAGGTCTTCAGAACAGGATTGATTTTCGAGGAAATCGTATACATTATCGATGAAGTGAATTGCGATGGCGAGTTTCTCTCGATTTATTTCCTTCGAATCTGACACTGTCAATTATGAATTCCACCGGAACTCGACGTATCCTCCATGAAGCAGCGACTTCGAAGCTTACTCTGTAGGTTAGAACACATTTCATTTGAGGCTAGTATACTAAATATACGGGTCTCATGAATAAAAAAAAACGATAAATTAAAAACCCTTGTATAATCAATCGTCGTGTAATTTTAATAGCATACTTTATATATCCTGGACTGGAAGCCTCTTAGAAAAAAGCATATACGCAGATGTTCAGTAACAAAGATTCGACGTTTTCTAACACCTATGCGACTAAAAAAATGAAATACGGTATATTGCAGTATGCAGTGAATTGCGATCGCGAGTTTCTCTCGATTTATTTCCGTCGAATCTGACACTGTCAATTATGAATTCCACCGGAACTTGACGTATCCTCCATGAAGCAGCGACTTCGAAGCTTGCTCTGTAGGTTAGAACGCATTTTATTTGAGGCTAGTGTACTAAATATAAAGGTCTCATGGATAAAAAAAACTATAATTTGAAATTCCTATGATAATTTACCGTGTCAATACCTTATAATGGCGATATTACAGCATCTTAGATTCGTGTAAGAAAGTGTTCTCCGTAAAATTAAATCATATTTAATCATCGTCTGCTTTTAACCTGAGCGAAGAAATTATTGTTACAAGTGCATCAATCGTCGTGTAATTTTAATAGCAAACTGTATATCCTGGACTGGAAGCCTCTTAGAAAAGAAGCTTATACGCAGATGTTCAGTAACAAAGATTCGACATTTTCTTGTTCATCAATTCTGCTACATATTTGCGTCCCAAAATGTCATCGTAGAATTCTTGGTAGGTCTTCAGAACAGGATTGATTTTCGAGGAAATCGTATACATTATCGATGCAGTGAATTGCGATCGCGAGTTTCTCTCGATTTATTTCCTTCGAATCTGACACTGTCAATTATGAATTCCACCGGAACTCGACGTATCCTCCATGAAGCAGCGACTTCGAAGCTTGCTCTGTAGGTTAGAACGCATTTTATGTGGGGCTAGTATACTAAATATAACGGTCTCATGAATAAAAAAAACGATAAATTAAAAATCCTTGTATAATCAATCGTCGTGTAATTTTAATAGCATACTTTATATATCCTGGAATGGAAGCCTCTCAGAAAAAAGCATATACGCAGATGTTCAGTAACAAAGATTCGACGTTTTCTAACACCTATGTGACTAAAGAAATGAAATACTGTACTGTATATTGTAGTCGCTGTTCACGAATATACGCTTCCCTTCGCTGAACTGCGCTCGTTTCAAGGTTGATCATATGAAGGGGTGGAATAGCGTCATCTAGTGCGTCGGAGGCGAACTATTTTTTGGCTCCGACTCCATCGAAATGATAACAGTATTAAAAATGCAACTAGGCAGCACGCAATTCGGTAAATTAATGTGCGAGCATTTAGTTTATTATCGTATGGTGAGCCCCCTAAGCCAGCACTAAAAAGACCATGATTTATAGTGAAGTTCTCAGTGGGATCGGATTTCTTAGGGCTGACAGGTGCTGTACGTGTAGGCGCAAGAGAGTCGTTCGTTCCCACAACTCTACTTCTTTGCGGCAATATCGCGGATGAAAACTCGGTTAGCATTCCCTCAGTTCTGCCCACGTGAACCCGCATTACTTTGCATGTTTGGACGAAACTATGACGTCGTATTTGTGACGCACTTTGTCGGGATACCTGCCACTATCAGAGCCACCTCTTCAAGTCTCACCTGCATCATTCAACGCCATCCCGGGGACTTGCTTTGCTTTCCGCGACAAACATTCAGGAGAGCTCTTCGTGAGATACGAGCGGGACTTGAAGTGAGTTCAAGTCGAACATTCCGTCCTTTTTTTCTTCAAACGTCACGATGGACTTTTTTTCCCTTTGTGATCCACACGGAAATCTCTTCGTGGAAAAATTTCTTTTTTTTCTATCTGGATGTTTTCCATCTACTGGGATTTGATATGGCGGAAAGTCGGAGTGTATTGTAATATCCTCTTCACATCACGTTTAGCTCACCAATACGACTTCCGTCTTGAATATTCTAGTATTTTCCTGCTCGGTGGTGATTGGATCATGAACCAAGTCAACACAACATCTCAATTTGCACTCGAAATATAGATATTGTACTAAAAATTTCAAATCATTATGAAGTTTTCCCTTGAACTTTTACACTTTCGGGAAAATTCGCTTTTGCGTGTTTTTTATTCATTTACAATATCTTGGTTGTCGCAAAACCGTATAGAGATCATCGTCGCACTGTTAAATTTTGAACTTCGAAATGAAGAAGCATTTTGCTTTCAAAATATCACATATTTTCTGTGTTATGTACAAAATCCGATTTCTAGCAGTTGAAGAACGCAGCCAAGAGATATGAGTGTCTCCTGATGACGCCCGGAAAGATAAAAGCTTTGAATTTAGGTTTATGAACTTTTTATGATTTTGTCGACTATCTTCCGAGTTCCGAAATACACCGCTAATCTTGACGTATTATGCGCACGTCATGAATTATTTCCGTGCATCGGATTATTTTCTTGGAAATCAAGTTCGATCTGCGCCATGGAAAACGACACGAAACGAGGAATGATGTACTGTACCTCGAAAGACGTGAATAGAACATGTTGGGAATCAATCAGTTGGAGAGTCTCAGGGATTGAGTCGAAGCTAATACGAACAACGTATACATGAATGGAAGCCAGAACCGTCCGAACAACATCCGCTTTTATCGTTCACAACCGCACCCGAATTAGATCGCAAATCCGGATCAGAATCCTTTAAATACACTCGAGTAACAAAATACATCTTGGCACATTCTGGCCTTATGATGCTTTGCGCGAACCAATCAAACTCACCTGGAAGCGTCGCGTGTTCCAAAAATTAATATTTGACAAAAAATGTTTCGTACTGAGCCCAGAATGTTTCTCGGCCGATTCAGCTCGGCTGGATAATCCACTTCGCGGAAAGGGTGACTATAAAAGCAGAAATCATCACTGATATTACCGCTCGATCCGACAGACAGGAACGACTGTAAATCGGACAATACGGGCATTGGTATGATCCGCAGACGGCACAAACGTCAAGGGCATATAGTGGAGCAGGATAGAACATGGCGACGTAGAATTTTTCCGGTTCGTGTGTCTCGTAAATTCTAGCCGATCTCGTCTTCGTGAGGTTTGCCACCGGGAACCAACGCCGAATGGTGTACCTGAGGCACGGCTGGTCTCGAGTTATCTGCAAGTTCGACGAAATGAAAATACAGCAAATATATATATCTAACTCCTGCTTGAGTTTGCTGCGTGTAAAAACGGCGCGAACATCGCCGTGGTCAAGAGCTATGATAAACTAAGATTGCAACATATGTACTGATGGAGCTTTCCATTGCTCCAACATTTTACATTTCTCTGAAATTCTCGACGCTCTTGAATTGCTGATACCTCTTAGAAATCAATTTCTATGATGAAGAATTATTTTGAGGGGCTGGAGCACGTGGCTGCCCTAACGTATATGTTTTGGGCAATAATTGAAAATATGATCCTTCATAGACAAATCTATAAATTGATCTTAATTTTGTTCTTATTGTGACACTTTTCTTCATTATTTGTCATTATTCTCGGCCTTGGCGGAGCTTTTGGAAACTCGGGGCAAAAAATAACTGGGCGTCGGTTACTATATCTTTGGATGACAATATGTATGCGTTTATTTGTCTCCTACGATTTCAGACCATGCCTGATTTTTGCAGTGTTTTGTGGAAACCATCTTTACATAGGAAACCAAAAAAAGGTTTGGAGAAAAATGTTGGCATATATAGAGACAAAATCTGCCGATTTTCCTTGAATAATTTCAATTTTTTGAATAGCCTGTAATTCTGGAGTTCAGGCCACACGTTCATGATGCTGCGGTGCTGCTTATTCTCGAGAATCCGGATATAATTACCTAAAAAGGACTCAGATGTGGCCTGTCACGGAGTAAATTGACAACAATCCGAATCCGAGCCTTTGACCGCGTGTTTGGAGAAAAAGTGCGGCTTATAATTATGTGAATACGAAAATAAGCACATTGTGGGAAAGTGCCGCGCTGGTGCACACCCAAAAATAGGAATCCTCGCTCAAGACGTAAATCAGAAAAGGAAAAAAGAAAATGTAGGATAAAAAAAAAACTGTTATTCAAATGCGATATTCTTGAAAGCAGAAAAGTTGTTCTCCATTCGATGTTCTTGGAAGCAGAAAATGGGCAACAAATTTCGGAGGGATAATTCCACGTCATTTACCTTGCTGAAGTACCAATGCACGAATCCGGAATCGGCTCGCACGTCGACCAAATTCTCAGGCTTGCCTTTCTGTCGAAGAATGTCCAATGTAGCCTCTCTCTGTGTTATCAGGTAACCCGAAGGATTCTCAACTTCTATCGTTACGGCCCCACTCGCCTCTTGGTTCCCTGGATCCAGTTCCGGTGGAGGCGTATATCTAAATGAAAATTCAGAAAATTTGTGAGTGACTTCTGATACTAAAACTTTCTCCCTACAGCTGATATGAGAGACGCATGAAGTTTTCACTAAAAATTGTGTACTGTATTGCAGTTTCTAACTTAAATATCTCGCAACATTGCCGTTAAAAAATTGAAAATAGCGATCCTCGGAACTATTCAGCTATAAGGTTTTATACCATGAATTTCATGACATGCCTCATTCAAAGCGATATGTATTTTATTTCCAGGATTTTCAGGTTATATCGGTCATTAAAAATGTAATGTAGAAGGCATGTAGTTTTGAGCAAGCATGTTAATCAGCTAAATACATTTAATTTGCAGGATTACCACTCCAGTGTCATGATTTCATGCATATTCTTGTATGACCGACCGCTTAGACATAAGTAAAAATGAAATCTGACTGACAAACAATGTGCAAGATAACTCAAGATATTCAGGCTCCAATTAAGCGGGCATTCCATTATTCATGCCCTAAAAAGATTCATTGGGAGTAAAGTGATCAACCTTTTCTCCCCATAACTGCTTAATTGCCCACTGTTTGAAAAAGTATGCGGATTGATACACCTCGACATATGCGGTATACTGTATTAGGAAATGTTAAGTAGGGTCATTTTTGAATTGTCTAAAATTATGGGATTCCATTTTCAAATGGTATCCCATAATCCGCGATGTACGATAATAATTATCCTGGCGCAGGCGCCCGGGCATTATCCCCCGATAATCTGTTTCGGACTGTATTCCTGGATTGAGTTTTCGAACACTACAAGCAGGAGCCTGTGAGGATTATTGCGTTTACTGAGTAATCGTCACCTGGGACAAAGCTCGACATCGATGATGGACTTGTTTCGGAAATCTCGATAGCTTTCTCTAACATCCAACGTGAATACGTCAGCGGGCGGAGTTTCTTTGATGGGTTCGTAGTCGACGCCGTAGGCGTAATCAAGCTGGATAATTGCTTGCCCGCGGCCTCGCGCAATAACGTTCAGGTGGCCCCACACGTTCTCGAGCTGGAAATAGAAACAGTTTCATTGCAAAGGCAAATAGGAAGCCTCTACGATTCCTTGTTTAATGCTTTTTATTCAGGTCGGTCGTGATGCAACATTATGATTCACGGCCTCTATATTCCCTGAACGCTGAATGCACATTAAATCCGCGCTTGGACTTCGGAAATGATCACAAGAATTGCCCATGACAAACTATTCTTGAACTCTTACCGTTCCGAAAATGGCTACAAAGAACTGCATTGTGTTTGATGTTGAATCTGTGTAAGATACAGTATTTTGAAAATGTCCAAGAATAAGAAAAAAGATAGCGAAGGCAGATGACGCGTTTGCCTGCTGCCATCATTTGAGTTATCTGCTTCGGTACCAATGTACATACACAGATGAACTCAGAAAATGAACGATTCCTCAACGTATCGCCTCAAATTTTCGGAAGTGTACCATACAATGCAGTTTTTATCCTCTCTAAGGGACGACTTATCGAGGCTAATGTATAACGTAGATCAGTTTGCACGATGAGGGATCATATATGCTCAGACACAGGGAATAAAAGATTCCACGCCTGTGCTCTCATGCAGTCCTCAATAATGTATAATACACTACAAACGAACGCTTCTGGCTCTATAATGGGGTACAATTCAAGAAATGGTTGGAAAGCCTCGGAGTATGCATGCTACAAGGAAAGACTCACATTGAATTTATGAAGTTGGGCCACGCTTTTGTTGGTGATCCTTATTTCCTGATGCCAACCCGGTGTGCCTGTTGCTTCCACCGTGACGAGCATATCCGTGATGCCTCGCAAACGAGCTCTGAATGAGTATTCCGTGAGCGCCTCCGCAGCCACAGTCGAATCCTGCGACGGATGTATCAACGTGCATTAATCATCGACCTACGAGTCACGATATACAAACGGGGTATTAGCAGGGAGTAAGCGAACTCCTTTTGATTAATCCGGAAATATCTGAGACCTGCCGTGCGAAAATGCTCCTGATTACTATTTCTGTGCTATGAATGAGGGCGGAAAAGGAGTATATTGGTTGCTTGCGATCCGCTTTTCGCCCATGAAGTCGTCATTTCTTCCTCATCAGTGCATTGATGAACCCGTTCGACGACATGAAATAAAGCCCTTCTCTTATCGATCATATTTTCCGCCACACGTTGACGCAATACGCAGCGGATGGAAACAGCATTATCCACCGTCCAATCTCATCCCATCTACGATTCTTCAAATTACGGATTCCAAATGGAAACAAAATTATCCTGCGGAAATCGACACCATCCAGGAAGGACGTTTCTAATTTCGTTTTTCGAAAAATTGCTTATATTTAGTGTCTGAAATTTTGGACAAAATTTCGATTTTAATTTTCCACAATTGTATAAAATCCACAAAATCCAAGTTTACTTGAGCTTGTCAACGTTGTCAAAATGAACTAGACACGGGCTCCGGCAGTTAGGTTTCCAGAATTAAAAGCATCTTCCATATTTACATCGAGATTACCGATGAGTTTAACATTGCGCCGTTCCCCAAAGGAGCTCGTTCGAGGCAAATGTGATTCTCTCTAACCCTAGCACCATCAAAATATATCCTCAGTAAGCACCTATTCATGTTCTGGGATGAAGATATTGTCTCGAAAGAAAAGATTCTTTGGGAAACATCAATGACCCGACTCCATTGCTGTAGAAGCATGACTGATGAGCGAATAATCCGTTCAGTCGCTTTGATGGTGGTTATGTTGCTGAATTTCTTTTCCCCAACGAATATACTGTATCAGTAAATTAAGTAAAATTAAAAAAAGTCGGACTCTGAAAGACTCTTACAGTAAGTATAAATGGTTTTCAGTGATATCCCACTCCCTAGTTTTTATTTGCAATTTTGTAGCTAATAATTCATAGATATAGTCATTATCGTTTTCAGCATATTCCAACTACTGTATTGCTATGGGTAGTCTACCTCGTACAACGATATATGTATTGAGGGCTATACATCTATACTGTATACAGATATTGTAAGCTATATACTGTACTGTATTGAAGTACGGTATATTGAAAGCGTACATAGAATTGTTTAGGATTCGAGAGCAAAATAATCATGTGTGCACCTGGAAGTACAATAAATAATTGAGTTGTTTCCTTGAAAATATTCGGAACGTTAAACAGTATTTTTAAATCCTAGTATATCGGTAAAAAATAAAATAAACTGTGCTGACCACCTTCAAGAACTGCACTAGACACGGAATGAAGCATTCAAGGAATATTCCGGAAAGGTTTCAAGGGACATTTTTCGAAAATTAATTGTCTTACAATTTAATTTTTAGAAATATCCAGTTGATTTTATGCGTATCAAGTTTTTAAAATATAATTCACAGACATACAACTCTTTACAAAAAGAAAAAAGCTTATTGTCTATCATACCCACTACTATATTACCCATGTAAAAGGTTGTCTGCATAATCAAGTCATTCGCTGCAGCGAATAACTTGAGTATGCAGACGACAGTTTGTCTAGGATTTAAAAAGCCCATTTCTGCAGTGTGTCTCGTCATCCTATGCCCACTCATATGGTTAAACTTTGCTCCTTACTTCCCTTCACAATATTTTCACGGAAGTCGAAGATTAAACGGAAAGGTAAAAATCTTCGAAAATCCCTAGAGTCTTTTCTTTTATTCCGCCCACAACATCTTGAGAATCGCCAGATTTCTCTCGCTAATTCCACGGAACTAAAGTCTTGAAGGTTTCACACGTCCGATGTACGTCAAGCGGGAAAATTGGCAGCACCATTCTTTCGCAGGACTTTAAACAACTCACGCGCTGGAGGCATCGAACATTCATCGTAATCTCGAATAAGGAATCTGTCAAAGTTCAATGAAAATTTCTGTATACCTGATGTGTGGTATCGTATATATTACTCCGCTTCAGAGTGCAAATAGTATTTCGGTCTTGGCACGTATTCCGGTAAATTAGGTCGTCCATTCATATTCTCTGCCGTATAAAGTGGATAAATATTTGCTCATCGTTAGATCGCTGCTTGTTCAGACTACGGTTCTGTGTTCACGCTGTGGTAACTTTAGAAGAAATATGATTCCGAAGAAATTGAGATGAGATGCGGGGCTATTTGAAGGCTCCTGATTTGCTCTACCTGCATAAAACTGCAGGAAGGACGACGACAGGTCGACTATGTCTCACTCCCAGCCTACGTATAGTAAAGAAGCTCGTGGGCGGCGTGGAATGAAAAGCTCGGCTTTCGCCGAAAGCGTCCCTGATACCTTATGAGAAACTCGGGAACAGTTCAGAAGAAAGACACCTTCTCGGCAAATGGCTATTAATGCCACGGGAACTCGAGGCTTGACGCATGCCGTCTCCGCAAATACCCACCAGTATTCCGGCGAACCCTCCGGTCCTGATCCGCATGGAATTCAGCCAGCGCACCATTTTTCCCTGTATGGAATTAATGCCATCTCGCTGGATGTAGACCAGGAGTGCGTAGGCCGTCGCCTCCACGCTCAGAGAGTCGAACATTTGCACGTCTTTGGCTTGGATGAACGGGCGGTTGAACTCAGACTTCACCTGATTCGCTTGAATTTCCGCAGTCGACCAATAGATCCCGTTGCCTGGAAATACAATTGATTGCTCAATTAAATTTCTCGTTCACTTCACTTTCGTACCGTCGGCTGTGATCAGTGTCGAGTGCTGTTTGACAAAGGAGATGAGGGGACATTCAGCCATTATGACGATGGGATGCATATCATGAATTATCGAACAAGTATTTTAATTGCTATCGTAAAACAATGTCATTCAGAAGAGTAGAGTCGCGCAACAGGCAAGCAGCACAAGAATAATAGACAATCAGATTCCTGTGAACAAGCATTTCTACTCCTCAGTCCCAAGGATCCATTCTGGATCCATCTAAGAATCAACTGATACCCCCCCCCTCTTTTGGAATTGCTAGTTTTTCTTAAAAGTGAAGTCTCACTTTTTCCAAGAGCACGATGCCACCATATCGTAACATCCTCCCCTGTCACTTGATTGCCAATACAGTACTGTTTCAATATAGAATTTGTTGTGCCGATCTTATAACCTTCCGTGAAATTGATAGCTTTGCAAAAAACCGATTTTTGGCCGAACTCAGGAAATGACAAGGTCCTGCGACAGTCTGAGCAATGTGGCAAGATCTTCACCAGGCTTTTGAAATATCGTACTTGGACTGAGACTAAGGAACAAGCTAAAAAGGGAGAGAGCGAGATCCATATATGCAGACCTCATTGTACAACCAGTGCCTCAATGAATATTGAACAAACCGTATGCAAAAGGCCCGCATTTTCCAACAAACATTCCTCTCATTACAAACCCTCCCCCCCACCCCCCCAAAAAAAACCGAACCCAGATCTGCCCGAGCTGCTGTTGTTCTGTTATTTTTTTTTTTCAAGGGATCTTCTCTTTCCTGTTATTTAGTATAAGGGCATCACGAGTCGAAGGTTTTCTTTAGATAAGAAATTCGATTCATGAAGATCATCTTTAAGAAGAGAGGTTCAAGCAGAAAAAGCTATTGACCTTTCCCGGCTACACGTACAGTACAGTATACTGGTATCGGCAAACGCGCCCTGAAACGGAGAACGTAAATACCGTACATAGCGAATCGCTTGTTGATTCGAATTTGATTCGTTGTATGAGACGATCAAGAAAACAATTTTCTCACGGTTCTCTCGCCGAGATTCGTGCAAATATCTGAACGCCGTTTCAGACTCCGAACTCCTGGTCAGCGTCAGTGCGTACGCCATCATAGCCATGACGTACGCATTGGGATCGTCGCCTCGTGTCACGTTCCTGGGCTGGTTCCCGAAAGACGAACACGACGAGCACCTGAAGCTCGGAAGAACATACTCCAGAAACCTCATCCCTTTAATTTTGGCGTTCGCTACTCTTGCACGCAAGTTGCCGTCTGTCAAATAAAGATAATCCCGTTCATTAGAAAAGACAAAATGAAAATGTTTCATCAGCATATATACAGATAGTCTGAATTTTTCATAAACGCCTTCAACATGAGGGGGAACGGATTTTTTTCAGAATCATTCTTATGGCTGGCATTCATCATACACTGTTTCAACGAGCATTATTTAACGCAATGCGCGGGCGGCATTGACCTGATCAATATCCCGGGTCAAGAAAACGTGCTTTTCGTCAACCTACTTTTGATGGACTCCATGGCATGGTGCAGGGCAATAAGAACATTCGCAGTCAGCGGTACACTCGCCTCCACAACCTGATAAGACGCTCTCCATACAAGGAAAATTGGAACTGTTTCGAAGACATGGTTTCTCTCACCGATCCATCTTGAAGATCAATCCTTTTACGAACCATTCGTGATACGAGGGGATGATTCAGATAGGCATCAGTTTCTTCAAAGAACCCGAAGTCTTGGTTCTGCTGAACCAGCAGAAAATTAACCATCGCTGAAATCAGCTCGGTATCAATGTGTACGAAATTCTGCCAGTCCGGGAAGTTTGCCTCGTGGAAATGTCGTACCGCCCAAGCCGTAAGCCTGGTTGAAAAAAAAATCCGAAAGATCTGAGAGTCGGCGTTGAGAAATTACTGCGAAGTAACCAGAAAACCTTAGAGCTTCAGCCTAACTGCTGGAGCTCGAACTGTTTCTCCGTTTTTTGAAGACCTTATCGAGTTTGCAGGTCTTCTGCGAAATAAAATGGGGGTTTCAAAGTTCTGAGACTATTGAAGAAAGCACCTTTAAACCTTTTAGAATTAACTTTGGAATATGTCAGACACCAGACATCATTAGAAACTTCGAAATGTTGCCTGTGTTCCTCAGCATTTTCTTTATTTTCCAAATTTTCAATGAATCTTGAAGTGCATTTTCAAGAAAGCACCAAAAAGTTCCACCGTCCAGTTTTTTGTGCAGCTCATTTTAAGCTAAAGTCAACTTTTGAGAAGTTTGGAACGTCTTTTGAAAAAAATTCTTGATTTTTTTGTTTGTTTGTGTGTACGGTTTTATTGTCTTCCGACACGAAAATATTTCTACTCGTGGAGATCGCGCAACATTTTTTTTCTTGAATAGCAAAAAACAATTTCCCACAGTTGCTACTGATGAGCATGGCATACGCTCACTTTATTTTCCGCCAAAATTATGTGTATTTTTGGCTTTAATTCAGTTATGAATTAGTTTCACCAAAGATTAATCGACAACGATTTTATTTTGAAATAGCGAATTTCCACAGGGCTTGTGGTGATGTACTTGGAATTCTTTTTCAATACAGTATAATGTACGTCGATTTTGATCCTTGGGCATGAAAAAGTATTGAATATAAATCCTCAAGAACCAGAGGCATTGTTGATGAATGTTTAGGATCCGTCTAGGGCGACACAGCTTGTGAGTTGATGGGAAACTCAAAAGACTTTTGATAGAACCCTAATGGACCGATTTCTTGCGATTGGAGTAACCTGAGCGAAAAATCTCCGAACGTCGAAATGCGTCAGAAAATCAGATCTACTCTCGAATCACTTTACGTCAAAATAAGGTGGAATAAAATTGAGCAACCCTTGAACTCTTGTAAGACGGAAAAAATATCTTACTTAACATGGCCATATTTTTTCGCGTGAGCGAATATCAAAGAAAATCCACAGCTGCTTAAAGGCTTTCTCCCCCCCCCCTCCCCCCTCACGAGAAGCAGTTTGCACGTTGTAACAAACATAAATGAGCTGCTGTTCTTTTGAAGTCCAGAAATGACAGTAATTTTCCCTGCTGATGATTCGTTTGCTTGACTTGAAAATCGATTCGTTGTGACACTGCAATGTCATTGAGGTACAGTATTTTCAGATTGCATGCTCCTCGAGGAGTTAAAAATATCTCGAGTTCAATTATTTCGTAGCGTGACAAATAACATGATCCAAACCTTATTTTTCCAAGAAAAACAAAAGAAAATATGGTGACAGGTCTTCTACTCATCTACTGTGCTATTATGGTACTGTACATATTACTTCCCCTCTGACAGTGCGCTGCGACTTATGGGAGAGTATGTCGTACAGTATAATCAAATGAAAAAAGAGACAGAAAATCCACGACTTAGTTTTGAATATGTTTCAAACGTTTTGGAGTTAGGAATCGTTATGTAGAATCTTCATCAGCAGCAAAACAATGCAAGTATTGTACAGTAACTCATAGATTGAGAAGGTAATTCATTTGTTTTGACTGATTCTTGCTCTGATAATGGGAGATCCTACTTTTCTCCGAAACATCTTTCCACGGAGAATTCTTTCCGGTGCCTTATATTCAGCGTGATGTCTGACAATATTACAAGAGTTTTTTGGGTTTTAGATTTAAACTCCAGCCAACGATTTATATAAAAAAATCGTCTTCATTACAATAATATTTGAATTTCATTACACAATCGTTACTACCATTTTAATTTCAAGATGCCCAGAGCTAGAATCCTCGTGTTTAAGGAGATTAAGGTGTCAGCTCAATCATGAGTTGTAGCAGCGGGCTCCAGGAGAAATTGAATTAAATGAACGTGCGTCTTAAATTCGCAAGCAATTGTTTTCCCATTTCCAGGGGTTGAAAAGTAGGAGTGCGTCTTATAATCGATGACCTCTAATATTCGATTCAATGAGAGTCATTCAGTCCGATTTGTGAGGATATGACATTCCAGTGACTTTCGACAAGCTCACCAAACGCTCGGGAACGGACTCGCGGCCGAAATTTTCAGTCCGCCGCGAGGCAACTGGTCAGCCGGCGCCATTCTCAAAAATCGCTGGAGAATCGCTGCGTAAATGACGTTAATCCCGCCAAAGGTAGTCTTCGCCTCCGTCCATTCGAATTGGTTTGTCAGCCGGAGATATTTCAGCGTCCACACGTTTGCAGCGAATTCGTAAACGAAGTGATCAGTTGTTCGCGATGGCCTGTCAAGCGAAGATGAGCTGCCTGCGGGGTTCGACGGGAACGCGGGTCCAACCACGTCTCCCGACACTGCGAAGTAACCCGAGGTGCTGCCGTGAACGTAGCGGCGCCACTGCTGATACGGCACGATCGGCGATTCGTCGACCTTCGTAAGTCACGCTTGGAATCAGTCATGAAACGTCATTTACAGGATCAAAATAGGTCGGGATTACGATAGAATAATTAGTTCTCACAGCCTGGATTACCCGTAAAGTCGGTTAACCTATCTAATTCTGTATTGCGGATCCTCGAGACTCGAGTTCATCTCTCACCTGTATTACTTCTTTAATTTGAAAGCGCCTAAAACGTCGTCTTTCCACATACCGCTGAAGTACTGTATGGGAGTTGTTTCATAAGTTTTGAGACTTTTTTAAATAGATCCAACAGAGTTTCAACAATGCCAATATTTCTTTTTACTCCCATAGCCCTATACTTTGGCAACACTTCAGTGCTGTTCAACATACTCTCCGCCGATTTCAAGGTATTTTTTCGTGCAATACATCTAATGATCAAATCAGTGTCGAAAATTGAGTTCCGCTAGTTGATTAAGCTGCTCTTTGACGGTGGAAATGATAGTCATCGTCGTTCTTCACTGTCGGCTACAGCCAAAAGTCACAGCGGGTGCCTAAATCAACCAACAGAACTCAATTTTTGGCACTGGATTTTTGAACAATAGATTTTTTGCATGAAAGAAATGCATTGAAATTCAAAAAGTCCCGAAACTTATCAACCTTCCCTCTTACTATTCAAATCAGAGTTTTTTTACTACTTTTTAGAGGGATGCAGTGGGAGAAGAAGCAGATACGAGAAATGAGTTTTCAAACGGATTTATAGGGGGAAATGTCAAATACATTACTTGAATGCGTCCGCTCTCTGGCAACCCGCATGGATTTACCTTAATGTCCATGAATTCGTAAACATTGGCTCTGTTCTCCAGGTTGAGCAGCATCGAGATGTGATCGCCAATAGCGACGCCTTCTCCACGAACGGTCACTGTCCTGACTTCCTTGTCCCGGCGAACCTGAGTCGTTGCAGTAACAACAACTTCAATGTCACCCTGCTGCACAGTTGCTACAATTGGGATGAGTATTTCCATGGACTCGTTTGGTGGGAGAATGACCAGGTGCTGATGTTCGCCGTTACTGGTGCGTGGATTATAGCTTTCCACGTAGCCGCCTTCCTCGATGTGGACGAATTTGTAATCCTTCGAATCCGCGAGAATTATCAGAGTATAGAGCTCGATCTGGCGAAATAAGGCACGAAATGTGTTCATCAACGTCCCTGATGATTGATCACAACATTTGGGTTGATTTTATCGATGCAATCAAACCCCGATTAGCCAGGTTTCAATTAACCATCCAATTAATCAACAGCGACCAACTTTCATGCAGATGATACCCAACAAAGCTGCCCTAACAATTATAATTAGAGCCATTCTATCACCACGAGATCTTGGAAGGAAATTTGGGTTAAATAGGGATCAAAAGATAAGCATCAGAGGGTAAAAAATGTAATCATAAATAAAATACAGATTATCTGTAGTGCGAATAAAGACGAGAAAATGACCTCAGATAACGGACTTTTTCAAGGAATTTTGAGGATATTCGGGCAATGTGCTTTTCTTTGAAATTCGCGGAAATTTCTGTTATCTCGGTAAAGTAATTGGTGAATATTTAAATTTTTAATTTTATGGTTATCCGCGATACTGTAGGTAACTATCACGTCAAATGTACTCAGTCATAACCCCAAATTATCGAGGTTCTACTGAAATTATTTTCGATGAACGTTTTATTGACTTCAGTGAGTCTAAAGAGGACATCCTTGAAAATCGCGCGGTTAATTATTCGAACCTCTGACTTCGTTTTGAAGTACCGATCTTTTATGAGGATTGAGTATAACTGACATTGTGTCGGCATACGAATTGTGACGTTGAACAATTTCGACGCATCACTCAGAGCAACGTGGGAATCGACCATGATTCAATTGCAACAATTATTTCTGATTGAGACAGAATGATCTCTTTTGAATTCAGGAAAGACAAGAACGAATAAAAAGTCACAAACCTGGAGATTATTAACAGCGATGATCCTGACGCTGAACTGTTCCCCACTCCGAACAACCTCCGGAGTTTCCATATTAAAATAGAACGGGCGTAGGCTGCTGTGTAAAATGCTGTCGTCAATAAAAGAAATTCCTCTCTTTGCTGAGACTGCAAACGCGTTTAGAACCCAAGTATCAGCTGTTTTCGGCACGTTCAATTCCACCATGTCATCCCCACTCGGGCTGATGTTGATGTTGACCCAGCCCCAGTCGTCATTTGTGTTGAAGAAATCGTTATAACGATTGTATCGCTTTAACCGGAACCAGGTTATATCATCATCTTCCTCTGTCAACAGGAAACCGTCGTTATGAATTCTCTCATTCAGAACTTCTGCATTTGCATAAACATCAAGAACGATGAGTTCCAATTCCAGAAGGCTGACATTTTCTCCACCGAGGAAGTAGTATACATTTTTCCCAATCAAACTTTCAATCGAATTATGAGTACGCTTCAAGATTATCCAATTTGAGGCATCATTTAATGAGAAAGACATGTTCAAGATGACTTGAGAAGGTCAAGAGCTTTCTCTCATTATGGTTGGAACTATGGGAAGCAAATGCCAGCTTACCAAGCCGCTGTTACGTGTTTCTATAAGTGTACAATTTAATAAGAATACTGTAAATTATTTATTTCAATAATTGCGCGGGGTTTATAACGGAAAAAAATTAAAACGGGGTTAAAGCAGCAATATCTCGAGCGGTTCAGACTATCATATTGGCAAAACATTGAATTCGTTATTTTTTTCTGGCTGCTAGCATTTATGAAGGATTTTTTCTCAACTTTTCTTCATTCCACAGATTATCTCTTCTTCAATCAATTAATAAAAGGCAGCGCTATCGTATGAAGCACCCAGAACATTTTCAATGAAAGTCTCAAGTAGCTTCAAATAAAATTAATAACCTGAACATACATTGAAAAAATTCACAAAGCCACTTTTTCAATGCTATGTATTTTAAATTTTGTGAATTTTAGAATGCCATGTATATTTTATTTCACTGAATATGCAGTTCAGTGCAGTATCAATGTGTATTGATTAGATGTTTGTGTTTGGATGTTTTACATTTTCCTAATTCTGGGTTCAATCCAAAATGAGAACACAGAAATGACTGGATCTGCTGTCGCATCGAAAGGCTTTTATACAGTATATACTATATCTGTATTGTGCTCCTTTTTTCAATCTATTCCTGTGGCGGCAGAGGAATAATATAAAACCCGGTCTTCTACGGGGAAAAGCCAGTATATAATGCAAGTTCTTAGGTTGCGGCCTTATTTCTGAATAATTCATGACTCTACTTTTTAAATTTTGATAGAGATGCATGCTTTTTACATCTCGCTCGAAGTTTCGATATTTATGAGTGAGGAGTGCTGGCTCAGATAGAGAAGGGTGCAAACCTCTGAGGCACATTAATTGAGTATTGTACAACCCTCTCGTCAACCCCTTCAACTGTATGAAGAAAACAAGTGAAATTTTTTCTCAATTTTTTAACTCATTGCTTTAGTCATAAAAATGCTCCCAAAACGGTAAATAACAGCAACATTGAAAAACGAGAATGAGCCTCAATTTTCCTGTTTTCAGCATATACATTGGAGGTATCAGCTCGAACCCTACACGTCGATAATTCACGTCGATAAGATTTGCATTCGGTCCTCTCTCATATGATGCCGTAAATTTCTTCTTTCTTCGTTTTCCGAAAATCCTTCTAAAAATGAAAGGAAATCTCACCGAAGTCATGGCAGAGACCAGGAATAGGACACTCAGCAATCCGCGAAGCCGGCATCAGGTCGCAGAATTTCGGACGTTGAAGAAAAATGCTCCTCGCTCTTTCAAGCTTAAATGCTTCTTCTTCGCTTTCAAACGAAGGCGCGCACAAATTCGTCATCAATTTCAGCCCAGCGTATTTGAAAGTCCTCGCCGCATCCGGACCGTAATTCCCGGACGGATGATATTGAACTTCATCTGGTTCGCCGCTACGGAACCTCTTGGTGATCCTCGGTGACGTCGGGAAAGCGTCAACGGCGTGCAAAGACCTCAGCACTGACGCCTTGGACAACTCATTCGGACTGTTCGTCTGAAATGGCGTCAGACGCAACGCGCTGAGACAGAACAACGCGCCGCTTTCCCCGAAAACGGCGGCTTCCACAGTGTTCATGGAAAAATCCTTCCGCTCGTTGATTGCCACGGAAATGGAATGCAATTGGATGCTGTCCACTGGCATAGTAACTGAATCCGCATGCAATATACCGTTTCTGTCCAACATGAACGCCACTAACCGGAAACTCGGCGTCATTTCCGACGACACCGCTACGGAGAACGTGTGTACGTTTGACCCCGACGGTACGTCCATAAACGCGGAATGCACCACGCTATTTTTCGATGTAATGACGTAATAAAGGCGCCCGCCGAAGAAAAAGCTGGTTCTCGCGTGGAAGATAACGTATTCGTTGATGCGTGCAATTTGCGTGCTGGTGCTCAGATGTAAGTACGCGTCAGTACCGACATTGGCAGAATCTATTTCCTTTGTTCTCAGAACAACTAACTCTGCGCTAACCACGCCTTGGTTTCCCAAAGGTGTGAACGTAACTCGAATACGGTTCGACTCTTGGTCCGGAAGCTCTCTCCAAGACGCATGGAACAAACCTCCGCTTTTATACTCGATGAATTCCGGCGTCGGGGTAACGCTGAGTAGATTCTCCCACGCATAAAGAAAATCTTCGTCCAACGGTTGTTTATCGTGGTAAGAAACGTAGAACAGTAAAGAAAATGGCATCCCGGGCTTGAAAACTATTCCGTCAGAGGCCAGGAATCGAACCTTGATTTCCGAGCGAATAATCCGGCTCCTGCAGAATCCTGTGCTGGTCATGCGAGAGAAGTATTCCTCCGCGACAGCTTCAACTTCCACCTGAATGCCGTCGTAACTGTTTCCCCTGCTGCAGACTCGCAAGGCATCCATGGGAAACTGGAATTCAGACGAAGCATAAAACCTAGCAGACTGCGTGGCATTCACTATTGTGTAATTGGAAGAACGCGGTTCGCACGCAGGGTCCGGTCGCTCCTTGCACTTCAAAGAGACCTTCAGAAGTCCGCGCACTTTCAGATCGTGAGTAAAAGCTACGTCTATCGTGCCGGTGATGAAGTCCTCGGTTTCCAGGATGAATGGCTCGAGTCTGACGAAAACTTCAAACCGTCGCGGCCAGTGTTTCTCGACCAAGAATTTCTTGGATTCCTGCTGACCCTGGGCATCTACGGAAACTTCCCAGAGCCCCGGCAACGGGTTGCTTGGCAATATGTAGCTCACTCCAGCGACCCCCGTGTTGGCCTGGCGCGACAGCCATCTTCGCATGATGTAGCCGTTCGGGTCTTTGATGTAAATATCCACCGGTTCATTGAACGGTTTCAAGTCCATTTTTAGCATGACGGATCGGATAAGTACCACGTCCCCGCCGTTGTAAACAGGCTTGTTGAGTTGCACCAGGACGAATAAAAACTGCGGCGAGAAGTAGAGCCCGGACTCGTGTTCGAACGTCGTTCCACCTACACTGTTGGGGTGGTTACCTTCTATGCGAAGCCGGAAGTCACCGGCGGTGCTCGAGGGAATTTTCAGCAACAAATTATTTATTGAACCGGGACGAGCTCGGTGTGATGCTTGAGAAATTTCCATCCCATCTTTTCTTATCGACACTTTCAGGTCGACGGGTTCTCCTTCATTCTCCAAGAAGGTGTCTGCCTCGTCCTCAAACAGAACTATAGTCACCCGCTGGACCATATTCGGTCTTATCGTGTCGCCAGCCAGGATCGCATATTTCCTTTCAAAATTATTTCGATTATTATCCATGCACGCCGGATCCGGGGATCAGTCATACAGTAAATGTAATAAAGCAAAGCGAATATACGACACACCCTGATTTTGGGTTGCCAGTTGTGCTTAAAACGACAGTGCATTCAATAATTGTGGACGAATAAAAACTGCGGCGAGAAGTAGAGCCCGGACTCGTGTTCGAACGTCGTTCCACCTACACTGTTGGGGTGGTTACCTTCTATGCGAAGCCGGAAGTCACCGGCGGTGCTCGAGGGAATTTTCAGCAACAAATTATTTATTATTTTATATTATTATTATTATTATAAATTATTATTATTTATATACGAGGCATAAGTGATTGAAACAAAGAAAAACCTTAGAGCTGGGAAAGTTTCACCGATGGAATCTCACACTCAAAAAAGTTTATTGCGCTTTGGAATCAGAGTTAGAATGTGATCGACTGAACAACGGTTGCTCATCTGGAACTTGATAAATTTATTACATCTTCCATGCATAAATCAGCAAAAATCTGACATGGTCTCGAATATATAGACTACATCCGTCAATTAAATTTGGCCTATTAATGAATACCTCAGGAATATGCCGTATTAGTGCTTTTTTTAAATTGTGAGTTTACGAGACTTTATTCATAAATTATTTGAGTGACTCGGAACTTTTCAAGAGTCTGTTTCAGATCCACAAAAAACACTTCAGCGCATTCCCTCATTAGCAAGGATTGTTGTTCAAAGCCTTCTGAGCTGACATCAAATGGAGTCATGATCTTTGGAATCCCACGAGCAAAACACTGCTGATAATTGAGTTGTATGAAAAAGTTGTTTGAGTTCTCAAAATACAGATTCAAGATTCTCTAAAGCATTTGAGAATCAATGCCAAAACTTTTGAAAAGCCTTCTCTCTGTTCATTCTCAAATGACGGCCTTCAATTACAGTTCTAATACTGACGACGCGTTGTTCAAACATTTGTCATGCCGTGAAAAAAACTTGCATTCATTTTCGAAATAAATAAATATTTCCGAAACAAGAAAGTCTTTCCATTGAAGAATCGTTTTTTTTATTTATTGAGAAGAAAAAACCATCCGAATGTGTCTACCCTTGGGCATCCCAAAGAATAGGCGGGGAAAGACGAACAAAACGCAGTGCTCGACCCTCGTATATGGCAGTGACGTAAAAGTCGTAAATAAAAATTTTCCGGAAAATACTTCTGAACTTAGATACATATTGCATAAAACATGTTCCTGTTACTTTGAAGAACCGGCGAAAATGTTGAATCTCGATGCCCACAAAACGGAGAAAAAAGGGCAGCATAATTTAAAGAGACACAAGCGTACGTCATACCGCCTAAGCATTTGAAAAGTGGAAAAAATCCATCGTTTTCTTTTTCGCGAAGGTGACTGTGCGATGAAATTCAATTTTCAAAGCGTGAAGCAAACGAATTTTTGCCTTTATATTATACTGTATACTAAGACAATGAGATGGGGCAGTACAGTATTGATTTTATAATTATATGGCACACTTACTGTTGTCCTAGGATTGTCGAGGTGCCAGGATCGAGGAAATCCCGCAGAAGCACGGGCCGGTTTCCCACGGATAGTCCGTCACAAACGGGGTTTGCCACTACCGCCTGCGCGTCGCAAAACGGTATCAACAATGGCAGAAGGTTCACTAGTCGGTTCATCATTATATGAATTCCGAGTCGTGAAACAATCACCCAGTCCTTGAGCAGCTCGTCAATCAATGAACTATAGGATCCACGCGGCTCACAGTCGATGTTGGTGATGTGTCATGTTGCCCGTAAACACGCATTCGAAAATAAAAGGGCTACCCGCCCCATCAATCACTATACTTTCATTCACGATCAAGCGATTTATTGATCGTCCACCTTCAAGCCCAGTGTATTCTGAAAAAAGAATTCCTCCAGCAATATTATGCCGATTCATCGCCGCAAAAATCAAAACGTATTCGTCATTCCTGGGCATGTTGAAGTCTAAAAGTTGTTCATTTTTTCAGGGTCGACGAATGAAGTATTCCTTCTTCGGTTTTGAAAAAAATACGCTATCCACTTCCTGGCATTATATTCATACACAGTATGCTGATGAGATAAAGAGAAGGTCTAATCTACCATGAATTCCGGTCCGTCTTCCGCTTTTTTCTCGCTGTTTAGAATTGAGAGGTAAAATTTTTGATATTTCCATGCGTTCTGGAAAGACTTGCGATGTAGAACTTGTTTAATTGATGCGAATTTTGCATTGCTGCTAGATTACCAGGGTCAGTCATTTATGATATCCTTTTTTATTGCACAAGAAAATTTCGTTATGTTTATAATTTATTTGAAATTACTGCATGTTCAGCTGCGCGTATAGACAGCTCATGATCCACAGAATATCTACGTTTAATTAAAATGCAAGCTTCGGTTCGGAGAGATTCCTGAAACAGACACATAAATAGTCTGCCCATGCAAGCAGCAAAAAATTCCAACTGACGAAATCTTTGATATCTTTGGCCCTAGAAATGAGGGAAACTCGTATCTGAGTGGAGGTTAATTGGATATTTTTATTTAGAACGGAACTTTCGGTTTACCGTGCATTCGAATTTCAATCTTTGAAGATAATCTGGTTCTTGGAGTCATTGCAGGGTCACAGGATCCCAATTTTTTCAATTTCTCATAGATTCTTCGAGTCGAGGACTTTGAAAATGCATCGCTCTCTCAAATTATACGGAAGGTCTCTAAAATTTTGAAAGGTCGTCCAAGAACAAGAAAATGTATTGTCCATTTGATTCTCATGCAGTCGTCTGTCTTGATAACCTGAAGAATGCACAGCCCAAGGATTGTCCTTTAAAAATGTTGGGACAATGGCACGGATAATCGAAGTTCCACTAAATTTGAGAGAATCATTACGTTTTATGCCTTTTAAACTATGAATATGACGATTGACTGCAAACTTTTAGGGACATGTAGCTATGTGATGCCAACGGAAGGAACTCCAACAGAGAATTGTCAGTTCATGCTCACGCACGCGGAAGAACTGCACGAAGACGTGACGGATCATCCGCGAGGGTTAGGAGACGAGCTCAGGAGAAAAAAGATTTTCCGCTCAATCGCTGGCATACATAATAATATTGGGGAAACCCCGATGATTCCATCGGTACTCGGAAGCGGAGGCGCCGTTTGCCGCCCCGCCACCGCTATTACCGCGCAAGGGTCACTTCCCTTTCTAACATCCCCACCTTTGTTGAGCAAACAATGCTATATTCGTTGAATCATCAGCGCAAGTTTCTACATCGGGGTTTTCCCCGCGAAACCCAAGCTAATGGGCTTGCCAGGAATTCATTCTGAGAACTCATTCTGGTCAGAACTAATTCTGGACTCATTCTGGTTAAACTAATTGCGGAGAAATGAAAGCCATTCCTGCCAAAGAACTCGATGTTTTCTCGATTTTTAGTTTGAGAAACACTATATTTGCGAAAACCTGCAAACTTGCATCTGCATTTTCAAAAGAAAAATTATCGCGTATTTAAAAACGTTTTCCGCATAAGAATCGCACGGCGGTTTATTTCAGCAAAATGTCGTGAGCAAGTCTAGATGAGAATATAAATGCTCTTCTAAGTTGAAATTTTCTAGAACACAGAATTTTGAAATTTTGACTCGAAACAAAAACTCAGCGACTTCGTCACATCAAGGTTTACGTGATTCATTTTTTTCGGGGTTTAAGTTGAATTGAAATTTTATGCATCCATCCAAAAGTTTTTTTTTATTTGATCTGAAAGTTAAATCTTATAGATTTGAGGAGAGTGGAGTGCATAGTACTTCAGTACGCAATTTTCACGTGTCCAATTTTTGCAAATCAAACATAAAGTCACTATTAATGCCAGTAAATTTAAACCGACCTCTTAGAAAATTTAAATAATGTGTAGTCTTTAGAATTTCCACTGCGTAAGGAAATTTCCTCTGTGAGCGGAAATGGTTTCTTAAAGCACTGTTATATTCGAAAAATGGGGAAAGCTTTACGGTTTCGGGAGCAGCGCAGTAAAGTTCAACTATAATTTTGGTCTGTTTATAAGTTGAAGGGATATCTTTGAAATAATATATCCAACTTCTTCGTATAAAAATTTAAAACGACAAGCTGTTTAATAATATCGCCACGCGATCTTTTGCTTTTCTGCAGGGAACTTATCCGGGTTAACCTGGACGCTGAAGAAAACTTTCTACTTCAGACTTCTTTGTCCATCAAATTAGAGACAATAAAAGAGTAGATTGTAAAATGTGGTCAAATCACACGAGCAAACGGTGCGACAAAAATCTAAAAAATATCTTACTGATATCTGTCATGAATGACCAGTGTTTAAAACTGACGGAGTGTGGGGCGCCCACTTTCAAAGTATTTCCATCGTCCGGATTCTAGGTTTTAAATTTCACAAGTCATCCGCTTCATTATGTGTGGTTTCCTTGAGCTTGCGCTGCATTCTTCCTGCTTTATTCTGTATTGTTTGTGATTCTAAAGTCTTACAGTCAAATAACATTTCTGGAAAGCTTAAATTTCGCATATTATTACCCACAAACCGGCTGATTGACTGTATGATTTATTTACTGCTTCCACTGCAAAAAAAAAAAACTCCTGCTATCTTTTTTGAAGGCCTGTGCCGAACTGGACTCCTGCGACGATTTATTAAAACCTGTTCCTGAAAAAATATTCTGGAAGAATAAAGACGAAATATAGCTGACTTGGGAAAGCCCCGTGTAAGAGAAACTGAATCAGCATTTCCTGGTCAAAATGTTTGACCTTCTTTTTGGCGAAAGATAAGGAGGATTTTGGTGAAGGTTGACCATATATTTTGAATCACTTTGTCAATCACTATTCTACATTCACAAATAAAAACGAACAGCGAATTCTCTTTTGTTGGAACACGTGAACAGTATGGGCGGATCTTTTCGCGCAGACGTCCGATAACCCGCGCAGTGCGGAGGAACACATGCAATTGCACTGGCGCACGGCAACAGCAGACGATGGGAGTCAGTTGCGCTGTATCAGAACATCTGAGCATTGAATTACGCGACTCACTTTTTTCTCTCGTTCTTTCGACATCGTCTCACCTTTCTGCCATTTTTTACAAAAGGAACCGCGCGGAAGGATGCGACACGTACCAGTGTAAGGTACTGGTGCGCAACATGCGAACCAGGCTTTTCAAAAGTCTCTCGCGCTTCCGCTCAAATTTCTGATATACATCCAATGAAAAAGCACAGTAGGAAAAAAAAAAACTGGAACTTTCCTAGACGCTGAAAATGATGCATCAACACCTTCAATCATGATTTCCAGAGTATTCTTTTCTTTCCATAATAAAGTCTACTGACAAGAGTTTACTGATACAAGAATGAGGCGTCCTGTCGACATAATTTAGTCAATTTCTTGCGGGTTTCTTGTAGGGCGAGTACAGTGCTGATGGTCCTTGACATTTCCGACAACACTATAGTGTGACTTATTGCATGTTTTAATGAGAAAATTACTATATAAATTATTTCGCACTTCCTGCACATATCAAGTGAAAAATCAAAAATCAAAGAAGAAACTAATGTGCATCGAGGAAATCGAAAATTTTCCGGGTTCACTAAGAAATGCTGATCATTCTGATCGCGAGAAATGCTGGAGGACAAGCAACGTTAATGCAAATATTTAGCTCAATTATAATTTATAGTACTGTACTAGACCACTTCCTTTTTAATTCGACGCGTAAACTCGTACTCTAGTTGCTTAAGCTACAGGAGAAAAATGAAAGGACCAAATTATCAAAGTATGCGTCCTCATTTGTGCGTCCATCTTGGCGACTCCCTGGGCGATCAAATATACTGCACCTAGTTTCGCGATTTGCATGTTGCTTCGCAAAAAAAAATTATTCGTTGTGAAAACGAAATTGCATATATTTCAGGCGGATCTGACTTCCATAAAAAAGTAACACCTATTCGTGAGTTCGGATCAGCATCGAAAAAAAAACAACCCAGTTCAAGGGACTTTGCATTCTCTCGAAATCATGATTGTCTTTCCGAAACGGATTTTCGCCCGAAAATAAACATGAAAAAGAAGAAAACCATGTTCACATGATGCAGACTTGTGGATCCTACGATTTGTTCTCTGCATCCTCAGTTTGGGTAGCCATTTCTGAAAAGAAAATCACGAAATTTTCATAATCGTGGACACTTCTGAGAGGAAAATTTCGGCTATATACAAAGGACATGGGTCATATTTTGTCTGAACTTTTCACCGACAACATTTTCAAACTCCGAAATACAGTGAGACCCCCACATGCGGACACATCGACCTGTGGACAATTCTACATAGGGACACTTATTTTCTCTTGAAAAATTAATAAAAAAGGCCCGACATGAGGACACTGACTCAACATAGGGACATTTTCCTATAAAATTGCAAATACATTTCAGGACAAATTACAATAAACAGATATTTCCAACCTTAAAATTTATGGTAAGAAAAGTTCTTGGGCATTTCTCTCACCAATTTACCATCCATTTAGCTCATTAAAAAATACCTCCGGCAGAGAGGGACTTCCTTCGCTCTTTTTCACTTGAATATTGTTTTTACAGCCAATATTTGTATGCACTGTACAGAGGTATCAGTATTCAATTCCCTAAATGCCCATACAGTATTGTGTCGAAATATATTGATTGGAATTAGTTTAAATTGGGAGACAATTTTTTTTTCATGGAATTATGGTGATTATTTTGTACATAAAACACCAATTCAAAATTATATAATTTAAGTCTAACGCAAAATGAGACTTGACTTAGGGACATTTCAACTTAGGGACACTCTTGATACACCAATTATGTCCACATCTTGGGGTCTCACTGTAATACATGTCTTATCAAAATATCCATAAATCTGCTGTCAAGTAAAATATGTTCGATTGTTTAATATATCAAACATATCGCCATCTGCTCCATTTAAAATTCTGTTCAACGCAATATGTGTGACGGATAGACTCGAAGAAACGTCGCAATCTGTTTCAGTGCGGCTGATTACACGAATATGTCATCTCAGTTAAAGGCATCTCCAGCATTTTGAGCACAGCTTCCAGTGATGAAAGTTCCGTCTTTACGGCATGTCAGCGATATTTGACAAGAATAAACTGAGGTCGCAGAGTCTGAAAAGGATTAACCGAGGTTATCTGTGCTGCTCATTGTTTCTCGAAATGTCATTCCCGAAGCGTCGTTCACCCCGGCAGTATACCGACATCGATGGGATTCTTTTTTGAATTGCTAGAATCAACGACTAATCTGGCACCGGACTGTGTACGTATCCAACGTCATCATACGCCCACGATGCATTCAAGTGACGAACGTCAGCGCGGCGAACTTCCCAACCCAGCGATAAATTCACACCGACTCGGTGAAGAACCACACCCACTCGCTGGGCTGAATGAACCGTTCACCAGCAGGTACATCAGTGAGTTCCGCCTGATGAACAGACGCATCCGGAAATGAAATTCGGAAACCAGGTTAAAATAAACCCAGTCCTCACCAACTTCACGGAAGATGTTGGTGCACATACACGCGCGCTCTTTCGAACTTGGGATGAGCTCGTTGTCGTGCGGAAAAGACCTTGTGTGATGCTTCTGGAAAATAAATTTGAGCGTGAAATTGGACTGAAACTTGCCAGATAAATCTTGCTGACACCTGCGTGACTTTCGCCACGACATGAGATTATCTTCCGCCCAGGAAGCCTTGACATTCGGAAGGCTCGACCATTAGGCGAATAATGGAAAAAGGTGGAATCCTGTGTGTGCCACTGGTTGCCGGGCTGGTATAATGACATATGCGTATTCTACTGTCGCTTATTAGAGTATTATTGTCAGATGGGCCTCGTCTCACGCTTCGCCGTACACGTGTACGTGTGATTTGCCTACTGATGCATCCAAAGCGCTATTTGTCGTCAAGACTTCCCTTGGCAACAAACAATTCAGAATACACTGAAAAATTCCGACGCTGCCAGCAAACCCCATCAAACCGTGCTCATCCCATCCGGTTTCGTCAGTACAGTATAGCAATGCCGGGTGACCCGTTCTCCCCCCAAATGTCTTCTATATTTTTCGAGCCTTCTGTTTTTAAATTTAATGTTTTATCGAAATCTCAGGATCAACTCTCTTTAGTCAGCATTGACCCGCCTACGCATAGCCATTTTGACCGGCTTCCTAGAGATTTGAAAACCATTTCAAAGGGATACTGATTACGCGTCATTGCTATGGCGTCAGGTTTTTCTACGGATGTTCTTCCAACATTTCAAGGTGCGTTCAATGCGTTCGGACAAGCACGGAAAGTCCATAAAAACTGCCAAGAAATGTGGAAAGACGCATTCCATTAAAACTTTAGAAAAAAGTGAATGAGCACCCTTCCCAAACAATTGAATTGAAAATAAGCTTGGACGTCCGGCAGTTTCACTTGTCAAAGCTTTCAAAATTTATTTTTTGAGCCATTCTCGCACTTAATTAAAAAATCCTTCGCGCGAAAACTTGTGCAATTGAGTTTGCTACGTCTCAGATTTATGGATAAAAATTGAATTTCTGTGAAGTGCGACATACTTTTGTAATCGTCAAAAAATTACTGCATAAAAACTGCACACAGCTTTTCGGTTTTTTCTTTTTTTTTTTTGCTTGCGTGTGTCCGATGTAGGAAATGAATCCTGCGGGTCGAGGGTTGCGCAAACCATGCGTGATAAACCCGAAATTCATCAGATGATCTTGAGCGGGGAGTAATTTTAATTTCATGCAAAAAGCTTTGAATACAGTGGACCATCTTTGAATTGAAGAACAAAGTGATTCCGGCCGGAATTTCGCTACTTCACAAGCAAGAAGATGAGTCGTCGTCGTCAAGCATCCAATGCCTTGGCCTTATTCATGCTCGGTGAGAGATTCTTTAGAAATACTTAGTCGTAAAAGTCGGCTTTTTCTGATTGCGCATGCCGCATGATGCGAGCTCTCGTGACCTCATCTAGAATTACATCCGATACTCAGGTCTGATTTCCTCATTTTTCGAATTTATATTTTTATGTCATCGCGGGGAAAATCGTCATCACGCAGTTCTCATCAACAAGACACATGCACAAACCAGCGCAACGGACACTACTACAGGTACGATGCACACGCGAGATTAACTTTGTCTGCGACTATTCAAACGAAATATTCGCTCTGATGATTCTAAATCGTGAATAATGCAACTCGGTTTCTAAAATCAGTGAATGTCCGGATTAAATTTTTGTGAGCTTTATACTGAAATTTGTAGATGTTCATGATACATTTTTGACCATCAGTGAACTGCGCTTGAAACGAAATTTTTTTTTTAAACAGCACGATGGTTTGCCCAAAAAATCTGCGCAAAGAAACACGAGGACAAATTTAACGAATAAAAACAAGAGTGGTATGCATGGACGTTTTTGTATGAAGGGAAATATAATAGGCTCAAATTTAGAGTTTATAAACATTCTGATCGGTCTGTAGCTCATGATGAAGACTAAATATTTTTGAAAGAAATGAACTTCAAAAACAGATTATACGCGTAATAAACTTTAGGCATAATCTTGCGGTGATTCGGTTACTCCAGATATTTTTCAGGCAGATTATTTTATAATAATACCCGTGACATTTTTCACGACGAGCATTCCGTCCAAGTCGTGTACTGCATTACCCGCAGCTGCTCAAATTATTACTCGTTGGTCCCTCAGCGGCTGCGTCAGGTGACACTGAATCGACCCTTGTCATGTCTACATCGACGAATACGATGGTTCCAACATCAACCATTTCTTTCGAAACAACCAGCGGTACTGTCGCAGGTTCAAGTGTCACAGACCAGACGACGGGAAGTGTATCCACGACTAAAGAAACAACCCTTTCTTCTGGGTCAGTTTCTTTAACAGAAACAACAGCTCCTTCTACCTCCACTACTTCTAGCGGAAGCAAAGCTGCACCAGATTCCACTACTACGGCAACAACCACAACAGTTTTGGGGTCTACAGCAATTGGTGGCACCTCGACGCCCACTGGTTCAACGACCGCCAGTGGTGGAACAACTGTGTCTTCTGGTTCAACTACTACTGGTGGGGGGACCACGTTGCCGTCTGGTGCAACTGCTACCGGTGCTGGTGGAACCACGTTGCCTTCTGGTTCAACTTCTACCGGTGGTGGAACAACGTTGAAATCTGGTTCAACTGCAATAGGTATCACAACGACCGCTTCAGGAACAACCATTTCAGGAGGAACAACGACACTGTCAGGGTCTAGCACTACCACAAAATCTGGCTCATCCACAAGTGGTGGCACTACCACTCCGTTAAATACTGTCAGTACTACAGGAGGATCCACAGTCACGTCAGGCTCTACGACGACGGGTTCTGATGCATCATCGACCGGAACAGGTAACAATAACATTTAGAAAAATGCGAGAATTACGAATTGTCGAGAAAAGTGGAAAGATTCTAAGCGCAACACTGTTGAATACAGTGGATTAACAATGATTAGATTATGTGCAGCGAAGTCCCAGATTATATTTATTTTATAATTAGCTCCTGTTTGATGAGTTTTTCTCGCGTTAGGAGTAACAACAGCAGCAACCACAACAGCAGGAACTACGAGCAGCAGTGGTGGATCCTCAACGACGGCAACATCAACGAATACCTCTTTGAAAGGTGTTACTTCTAGCCCCTCAACAACTGTTGCAGCAAACGAGACGACATTTCCTCCCCCATCTGAGGATGGAGGTAAATATCATAAATTCACTTGTTTCAAGCTTCGAAAATGTGATTAATTCATGCCAATCAAGAATCTAACAGCGCAAGAAATTGATAGGCACTGCGACAAGATTTGATGGGATCTAATGCAATCTGATATTCATAAGTTTAAATAAATTTTCATGAAAAACCAGGTTCTTTCCGCCTTACCCCGCTTTTTCATCGATACATACATAAGATACATAAATGCATAAATTGTGAAGTTCGTAACAAATATATCAAGCTCTCTTAAGGTTGTATTGCTTCCAGAAAAATAATTTTTGCGAAAATAGATGAAAAAAAGTACTATCATTCCACGAGAATTCTTCTTTTAGAGCCTCTCGTATTCCGCCATGGCTAACAGAAAATTTTCTATTTTTTAAGGCAAAATGCACGGTATCAGTCATTCCGAGACATTCCACACATCAAAGAATTTCTGAAGGAAGAACACCATAGCACTATTGTGACAGCATTAGGAGTAATTCACATTTAACCGTCAGTTCCATTATCTGACTACAGGATGTGATTAGGGCGATGGTTCACGCAACATGGCAGCAGATCATGTTAGACGTCAAAGTGAAAAGTATCTATCATGTTCGGATGCCCAAAAATCAAAATAAGAACGGTCATCTTACCAAGTTTCCTTCATGAAAGTAATGGAAAAAGTTTTTCTGTCCAATTCGCTCCTATTTCAATTAAAAATTTCAAATAATCCCCCAAAAATGTGAGCTTTTCTTCTTTGTGACAAGATCCATTTGTGAAAATGACGTTGAACTTCCAAGATTTTTTATTCGTCAAAAAATGTGGAATACCTTGAATCAGTGATTTTTTTGGGAGGAAAATCACACTTTTTGCTTGCATCCAACTTACACATGACTTGGGTTACACGTGTATTGCACCTCTTCGTCTTGATCCTGAAGTCAGCTCTTGAAGAGATGCTCATAAGACATCCTGAAACACGCGCAAAATTGACCGGGTATTCTCAATCTAAAAGCGCATTAGATTCATTGCATCGTGGAAACATTGGAAATGAAAAACAATCGACGTTCTGTTTATTTTGTTCATTTATCGAAGTCGGATTTTGCCGATCACACGACGGAGACGCGCTGGGGAAATGCTTTCACGATTACGTTGTAACCCTGCCGAATGACCTTTCGACGTACAACGCAATTCAGGCAGGAGCTACGAAATACTTCTCTTCGTCAAATTTGGATGAAGCAGATATGCAGCGATCGCTACTCCGTCTGACCCCAAATGCTGTGAGTTCAACGGAGACAAGCCGACATTATCCTTAATCATCGTTCCGAAAACGTGATGTTCCAGAAAGCATTGTCGACTTTTCTGACGTTTCTTCAACGAGATTATCATTCTTTTTTACTTCAATAGAAACAAGCGTGGCCTTTTCCAGGATGCTTTCACTAAGCTTTCCGGAGAAGGCTAAGCGTGTTTCAAGAAGTAAAAGAAAAGGAATGCAAGCTTCGACAGCAGAGTTGTATTTTTCTGCATTCAGTATTGAATGGGGTGGCATACGAATTTTTGATCACATTTTCAAAGATCTGTATTTTAAGAACCAAAAAAGGAATAATAAACCGAATCAAGTCATACGAAGTATTCCATAGTATTTCTTTAAATTTCCTATTTTTGGTCATTCTCTATATACATCACTTGAATGAAACCTATCACGCATATACAAGTTCGCAGCGTGAAATAATTTTATTAAAATAACCAATTCTTTTCAAATAGACGTACTTCAAAGCTGAATTGGAAAAATAAATGTTAGTTTACAATGCGTTGGTATTTCATTTTTATCATGCTTCTTATACGGCCATTTCAAAATTCATACATGGGTATTTTTCACAAATGCTTGCAATAAAATCCGACTTGAGAGAAAAAGACTTTTCAGCGTCCGATTAGGGCTATAATGTGACATTTTCTGTGAATTTATCGATGCAACCACTTCTTAAGTAGTTGATGAAATCAATTATCATTATGTATATTTCATTTTGTAAGCAGATTTGCTGTACATTCGATTTGTCCCCGATTTGTCCCCGTTACTGAATCAGCAATTCAGTAATTCTGCATTGAAATGCAAATGCATTGATAAGTCTATGCGGAACGGAAAAGTATCTTCGTTAGATTCGCAATTTTTGCCTGAGAAAATTTACGGAGGTTTCCGTTATTTTTTGAGTTCATCTCCATAAACCATAAAGAGTTGGAAATGTGTCAAGATTTTTTATATCTTTACTTTTCCAAGGTTATTTCAGAATACATACGGTAAAGAAAACTTCCAAATGCTACAGTGGTCGTCATTAAATACTTTATTGAAAGGATGAACAGCTGCAGGTCAGATCGTGCGTTATAAAGGTCGCGGTTCCTTTGTTGGGTGATGTATTTATCCCGGCACTAAAAATATATATTCATGAATTTAAAGAAGAATGTAGATGAATGACCTTTCAATTCTTCCATTATAATTTAAGACTCCCATCTTTCAAAATACTTGGACTTTTTGACAAATGTATTTGTTCAAATAAGACGTGTCATTTATTCTGAAGTGGCCATGCAAGTTAAAATGCAATCAAGGTTAGCATCCAACGTTGAAGAGGTTGCTTAGATCAGCTTAAGAACAAGGGGATTAAGAGTGCCGATTATTACGCGAGAAACCATGCACATTCTTCAAAGGGATTATATTTTCATAAATGTTTCATAAAAGCTTGAGAATTTGTCAGTATGGAAAGTCTGTATAAGTGCTAAAGGTGTGAAGATAAAATTTTGAAGATGCTTCGGAAGTCTCGAAATCTATCTCACGTTTTTTCAGTTTTCTAGAGCTGGCAAGCGACATAATACAGGTACTTCAGTATTATTCTGAAACAGGGTCATAAACTTAATATTCATCATTGCTGAGAAAAATGCGTCTAAACTTTGAATTTTCGGATTATGCACCACTGATTCGATGAACTGTGGAAATGGTGTACTTCGACTTGAAGCAGCAGTTTTTACGATAATATCCGCGCAAGGCGCGACTAGACTATGAAGTGTACTACATAAAGCGTAACCTCAATAACCCGAGCTAAGGACGGAATACTTTTTTAGAATGATCGAAACACACAGAAATAGAAAACCAATGTTACAATAATCCGATTTTCTTCGTCTGATTAATTTTTGCTTACAATGTACAGTACACTCAATAAAATTTACAGATATAATTATATGAATTCAAAAAGATCAGGTGGAATAATTTGATGTGATGCTCCCCGGTTCAAAATTGGTTCAGTAATAGTTTATTCACACAGTTGAATGATGTATGGATAATGGAGGTCCATCTGTGATTTGAAATTCGGATTTTTATTTCTATATGCCTACACCCCGAATAGTGCGGGTAGTCTGTAAAAGTACAAAACAAATAATATCCTTTCGCTTTCCTTTTCTAGGCTTTCAATGTCATGACAGGCATTCGGGCAGTTTTAAAAGCTCAACGAGTTCGAGTCGTCTACAAAACGCAATTCCTGACTCAAGCTTCGGATTTTCAGACCGGTGTTGGCACTACTGTGAGCGATTTGGCCGATGGTTATCTTTTTTATTCCAGTTATGAATCAGGAAACCAACTATCCCTGGATGACGTCAAGACGGAGATTTCGGCCCTTCTGAGTTTATTTGAGAAGCAAATGTCTCCCAGAGTGTTTGCAAGTACGTTTCAATTCAGCATATATTCTCGAAACTTTCCAGCTGCTGCAAAAATGATCTTGACTTGAATTCCAGTCGCTCTACGAAAAGTGCCACCCTTGTACTTGAAGCCGATCATACTCAATCTGCAAATGTATTACGTGGAAGAATACAAGAATTTGAGTCACCCGAAGTCAGACGAGTTGATAAGAAATGTCGCAAGCAATGTGAGTTTAAAGCTTAAAAAAAATACTGCACAAGGAAAAAGCACCACAGATACCTTTGAGTTTCTTATTATGTCATGTTCTTTCACTTTGAGCTTTAAATTTTACGGTTATTTTCATTATTATGCAACCTACAGTTCAGCGTGCTTTTGGAAAGGAACAATGGAATACAACATGCCCTTGTTGTGACATCCTTGACGCCTGGAAGCGTAGATCTGAATGCGGAGGTTACCTACGAGAAAATCAACCCAAACACTACAACTGACCCTTTGACGTCGGTAGAGGAGGGGCTGAAAAAAGATCCCAAGATCGGTTCAATTGCTATAAACCCGGATAAATCTGTCATCGGAAGTAAGTCTCGTTTGAGAACTGAACAAATGCTGAAATTTTAATTCAATAAACGATAGTTCAAAAGTCAGCTCTTCGTTCATTCTCTGAAGCATCTTTCCTTCCTCAAATGTAATGGATTGGACTGCGATATAAACAGATATGGAAATCACGCTACTACACCCCAAAACTAATACACTTCTAGGAATTATGATCATCTATAGTTGCAATATAACATTTTAATAAAAATAGACAGAACATTTCTTAAAAACCCGACAACCGCCTCATGAACTTATTGGGAAAGGAAAGCGCAGATGTTCAGAATTTCAGAGAAGAATATTACTGTGAGTCATTTATTGTTAATCTGGCAGCCAGTAAAGAAGGAATCGCATTCCAGAAAAGCTAAAAAAATGTCGTTCCTAATCCACCTCTAATTTAAACAGTCAATGTAACCACGATCCTAAGGACACCTCTAATTTCCCTTGATTAACCAGGTGCTTTTCCCGGCGAAGCAAAAATTTTTCTTTTTTTTATATCTCCGAGGCTCAGAAAACGTGTGCCCAAATGATGCCGAATCTACTTCGCCTTTTCACATTTTCCCACCTTCCGCTGAAAGAAATTTCAGAAGTCCGTATTCATCAGTCTGGGAAATATTTTTTTTCGCGTATATATCACTCCATTCCGTACTTTTAAAAGTCGTGCGTCTAAATCGCTTTGAAATGCTGAACAGACGACCCGGAAAGAGTTTCAGTTGCAGTTCACTTATGCGAGACAAGGCACCAGGAAAAGGCACGAGATAGGAATACATTTCTGTTGCTCCAATTTCCCCGCAAACTTTGTAAATGATAATATTGAGCAAGTTCTGTGCGACAATACACTATTTCATTCGGAAGGAAAATGTCAGGAGTTATTGCAAGGGTTTCTTGCATGCGTCCCGGATGGTGGAGATGGATATGCGCAATTTCAAGTCTATCTCGTTCTCAAATTTCAGCCACTGCCTCTTTCGGCGACAAACTCATGAACAACAAAGGTCAAGACCACAAAATGCTGATAGCCGTCACCGTGCCATCATTCATTGGGATATTCTTATTCATCCTGCTCATCCTTTGCTGCACTTCCGCGGCATTCACGCCATCCAAAATGAAGAAACCGAGTGCTTGAACATTTCATAAGAGTTTTCTTTCGAACGATGCCCAGGCGACAAATGTTGGCTTTCAAAGCAAGATGAGGAAGCCCTCCTTCATGATCATTCACGCCGTGGTGAAAAAAGAACAAATGAAAGCATCAATGATGAGTCAATTTTTCTCGCCTGGGTGTCCTTCAGATGGAAAATTCCTATTTCAATTTGAAAATATTGCCGTTACTACTCGGATGTGTTTCATGTTTGTGGAAAAAAAAAACACCACCACTTGACGCAAAGAACTTGAGAAATTTTATTATCTGCCTGGGAATGGATTCCTTTCTCAAGATTCAAGAAGGTCATAGTTTTGAGATGCTGAAATCATAAATTTCTATTTAATCTTTTTTTGTTTTTGCTTTTGTTTCTTTTTCAATTTTTTTTTTCGCGCTGAAAGAAAACCTTGTGCTGAGAATTCAAGGCGTTTCCATCGTCATTAATGCAGTCGAAAAATGATATGTCTCACAAAATAATCGAGAAGGACATTTTAAAGTGTCCCCTCTATGAATAATACGTTCTCGTCGAACTCGTTCGTTCGCTTGTCACAGGCTCAAGCCATTCAGCTTCAACCTATTTAATTACGTCTGTTCTGAAAATAGTACAGATGCCACTTGCATCTCAACTTGAACCTTTCCATTCATCAGAAACAATCCTGATTCAATTCGCGAGTCGCTGTAAGGAAATATCGAGCGATGCGTAGCCACTAAAGCACGCGAAGTGACGGATAAAGCCTTGCCAATGACGTGGGTAAGGTTGATTACTTGCGGAAAGAGTCCTTGTTTCTCTTCTCTTGCAACGGGCATTGCCAAGGTTGCGGGTCGAAGAAAAAGCTCTTTACGCTGGAAACCTGTGCGGTTCCGCTCCATCGATTAGTTAGTATTATTACAAAGGCGGGTTTGAAGTGTGACACTAAGGACACCGCGTTGCCGTGGATTCACTGCTAGTTACCTAGGCGAAGTCGCGGCGCACTTGACACTTCCTACCAGTCCAGTCCTTGTCAATGGTGCTCTTGATCCGGATTCATATTGCATGGTTAACAATTGCATGCTTGAAATTCTTGGAAAAAATTCTTTATTTTTATTCACTTTCAGGTGACTTTCGAAGAGAGAAAAAGCCCTGAATCATCGGGGTTCGTGATCGAAACGTGATGAAACTTCGAGCTGCTGTTGCAGCAATTTGCCTTCTTGGTGAGCTGCGTTTCGCTTCTCCGTTTTTTTGTTTAAACAAATCAAAATATATCCATTTCCTCAGGAATCTGTTCTCCAGCAAATGCTCAAGGGCTTCAAGGAGCCTTTTCCAGTGAGCTAACGATTTCTTTTTCTTTTTTTTTTACGCGACAACAGTCGGTAGAATAAAATATGTCATTCCTCTTGCACGCAAACATCAAAAGATTTGGGAAGAAATGCTGGTGAGTTTCAATGAAAGTATTTCGCCTTTATATGTTCCCTCTTCCGCATTCTTTGACATTTTAAAAATCCTTTTATTCAGCGAACACAATTGGAGGGGGTGAGTACACTGATTACGAAATAAACTTATTCAAATGACTTTATTTACTTTATAACCGCATCTTATAGCGTTGAATAGATTGGGAATCAATTTAGGGAGACAGGAATTAACGACAGGTACAGTGCTTGCTATTTGTCTTTTGCACACATGAAATCAATGCTGCTTTAAACTACACAGCAAACCTTCCGGCAGTTTTGGAAAACTGCCTCAATGAAACAGGAAATCAGACCAGAATTAAATGCTTATGGGACAATCTGAGCAACATTACGGTTTTGGAGACCCTTCGAAACCACTCAATGTTCGGAATCTCATTTTTGAATCAAACAAGGTCGCAGGTTTGTCGATACAGCATTATCTTTAAGATTCAAGAGACATTTTTGGATCGAGGTACAATCGAATTTATTCGAAGTTGGTACAAAACATGGCATCCTTGAGGGCATACATTGAAACTTGCGTGGAGGTAAAGAACACCACAAATTGCACTGGGCCACTGGCAGCCAGCTCGGCAGTCCTCGCGAGAATTCGAACCAAGCTGCAGAATCAAAATATTACGTGGAACGCTACTGGTGCCAGCACTTTGATGAATTTGATCAATTCGATCAGCAATCGCACAACTTCAGCAACGATTCAAGGTGGGTTGCTGGCTGTGATGACACATTTTCGAACGACGCGTTCAATCAGCAACGTTTTTTTTAAATTTTATTTATCTTGTTCCCAGGGCTCATCCAAGGCGGATTTACGACCGTCAACAGAACGGCAAATGTCGTCAGAAATATTTTCGGCAATATCAAAACAGCGATTAGAGGTGACTGCATAATCGGGGGAAAATTTAGTCGCTGCACCCAAAGACGATTTAAATAAGCAATTTTCCACAAGACCTCAACAGTTTACTCAGTTAATCAAAGAATATCTTTGACTCGAAAAGTTATCAAGATCTGTCGTTCAGTAAGACGATTTTGACGTTCATGATAAAACCAGTCTTAAAATCTTTGAGCTAGCAGTATTTTTATATTTAAGCCATCAGGATAAGTCACTTAAATATTATGCTTGCAGGTGCCTCAGCATACTCCTCAAGCTCAGAGGCACAGCGCTCTGGAATTCCACTACAGCAAGGTCAGATGAAGTTTCCTCGGTCATTCTCGTATTATTACGCGATTATAGGCCACATGCAATTATTGGTTACAGCACACTTTAGAAGTTTAGAACACCAGTATGGGAATGAACTGATTGGGCCCCGAAAAATAATTTTGTTAGAAAGCAATCGGCGACTGTACACGGATGACGGGCTAGAAGTTCAGAAAGAATATGCCAAGATTTTAAAAAGATCACTCGTTTTAGCTTAAAGCTTGAAGAGAACAAGGGACCTCCATAGGAAGAAGCTAGTTGACATTTTTATTCATCTCTTACCTCTCTTAATCCTGTCTTTGAGGGTATAGTAAGTTGTGAAACAGATCCTAATTATTCCCAGTGTCAAATTTAGCGCCCACTGCTGCACTGATAAAATATTCAGACTTCAAAAATGAAAGAAACAGGTTACCAAGTGAATTATCGAATACGCGTGGACCGACGCCTACCTAGCTAGACAAATGGAAAGCTTGGATTGAATCACATAATTTCTTTCCATAATCTAATAGGAAAGCCTTCGGAAGCGACATTCAGACCTGAACAGCTGAAGAATACGAAAGAAGGTTCGTGATTCTCGTCAATAGACAGAACTTTTTTTTTATTTTGAGGGTACTCTTCCCACGATTAAACAAATAAGTTGCTTTATTTGAATGGATGCTGCGAACGGGCTTTTACTTCTTGGTTTCAAAATAATGGGGAAGCTGCAATACGTTATTGAAACTATTTTAACATTGCAATAAATTGTAATAAGTTTAAGTTTAATTTTGAATTCTTAATAACAACCGTGCCTTTTTTTCTTGCAGCCATTAGAGCGGCAAGAGAAAACATCACAGCTACCGTGGAAGAAATAGTTTCAGGTACGGCTTACATGTTTAGCGGGGAAAATCTAGTAACTCCGAAATCTCGGAAGCAACTTCCAATTTACAGTAATACCGTTTACAATATTTTTGCACTGTCTTCCAATCCCAGATGAAAAATTTCAAACGCATCCAAAGCAAGTGGTCAGCGGAAGACTGGCAGGTAACCTTTCTTATAAATTTCATATCAAACTAGCTCAACGCGTTTCTCTTCATCTTCCCGCAACAGCCACATTTGCAAACATTGTTCGAAAGCCATCCTATGGCTCACAAATCAGCTCATTCGAGGAGCCCATTCCAGAACAGTCGAGTGACCCGATGAACATAGGTGAGAGATTCGATGACAACATGCTTCCGGATAAACCTGTGATGAATGGGAAGTTTTATTTTTCAGCATTGGGTTGTACTGAGCTGGAGGATGCAAAACAGGCTGTGTGCGTCGTGAATGAAATTAATGCGTATTCGGTGAACCTGGATAATTTCCGTCGGGAACTCGAGAAGATTCCGTCTGATGATAATATCACAGAAGTTCTCAGTATGACTGACACAGAGGTGAACTATTTTCCGCTTGATTTCATAATGGGTTTAAAATATCCCAAAGTAAAACTGGTAATTTTCTAGGCTGATTTGAATTTGAGAATCGTATTGCAATTGAAAAACTGTAGTTCAATTTCTCAAAAAAATCGTTCTCGGCAGTGATTAACGTGACCGCAAAGAAGATGGATGAAATATCATGTTGGGAGCAGAATATACATTCACGAATGACTAGCTTTATTCTCAAACAAAGCCTAAAATCTGAACGCGTAAATTCGCAAAAGAAACAGAATGAAGATGAATTTAGAATTTGTATTCGTCGAGAACCATTCATATAATGTAGTCACTTCATATGGGACTTCAAGATTAATCGCACGGAAGCAAACATTTTCTCAGAAGCAAAATTGTGAATGATTGTAACACAGTACAGTTATAATATTGCATAATTATTCATGCATCGATTCTATTCTTATATTCCGAATGCTGAGTATTACAAACTCGTGAAGGCATTTGGAATGATGGAAAATTCACAGAAATAAAAAGCAAATTTTCTTTTCTTATCGTATCCCCAAAGTCTAAATCATTTTTACAGTATACTGTACAACTTTACTGAGGTACTTTCATCATTCTCGTGTGATTTTCTTTCAATTTTTTATTTAACAGAAAAATGCTGAAATAATAAAATGCCAATCAAGAAAATTAAATTTCTGGATTTTTTTTATGCAAAGAACTTTCTTTTTTTATGTAAAACTATTTCTTTCTCCTAGCTTGAAACCTGCTTCGAGAGTCTTCGACTGCTGGTAAATGCTGTGCGAGCCCAAAAGGCTTCGAATTATTCTGCGTTTCGGAACTTCGACGAGCTTTTCGGTGATGAACTAATTCAAACTGCCCGGGACCTCGCCTCAAGTAACGGAAATGCGACATTCGACCAAGAAAGTTTGAGACCATTCATGTTTGCTTTAAGAGCCGTATTGAGGGCATCAATCTCAAGCAGCATGAGGAGTAAGTTCCATCGACACCGGATTCACTCGCCATCTGATTAAATCCAACGGGTTTCCTTCCACCAGCTCTTTTCAACAAACTTCCACCCATGCTCACCCGCACAGGGAATTTCAACTTCAAGATGGATTTCATTGATGAATTGCGGGATCCGTTCAGTGCTGAGGCCTTGGCATTGAAGGAAAAGTTTCGCAGTGACGTAAGTGTTTCGGGAATCCGATTTTGGTTCTCGCAAGTAAAGTGTCCCGTTGATTCCCTAACAGCTCGAGAGAGCCATGAACGGAACTCTGGTCAAAACCGAGATCCTCGGGTTCGAGCCGGGGTCGGTTAACATAATTGCATCTGTTATGTACGACACCTTGGAAGGGATCAAAGATCCACTCAATGCTGCCATGAGAAACATTTCTTCTTGGGAATCACTGAGTTTGGATTCCGCGAAAACGTTGCTCGATGGTAAATGCTCCCAAGCATTCGTTTTTTCCCCGCATGGAATAAACCACGACCGCTAATCCAGACTAATGGGGATTTTACCAGTTTTCGATTTTAATATTTTCGAAAAGTCCGGGCTCGTAGACACGATATAAAAAGGATTATTAAAATGTGACATTTCCTGAGCAGTTTAAGCTGCCACCTTTTAAAACCGTCGATTCTTTTGATTTCCTTTCAAATAATGTCTGCTTTCAAACTCTTTTGCGTATAGTTTTATTGACGTGACTAGCGCAGAAATAAGGACGTTTCCTTGCTCGAAAGAAATACTGTACTCTCTCGTAAACAAAGACTTACAGAATTTTACCTAGTTCGACGTGTCTTTGAATCACTTTTTAAAGAGACAGCAGCCCAGCAACTTTATCGTGATTGTTCACGATCACAAGAATAAAAATGAGTTCCGACGGAAATCAATATCGGAAATCAGTATCGCTGTCCCAGATCCGCGAGCCCGTGAAGAAAAATATGTTATTTTAAATACACAGTATTTTCAAACGAACCTTACTGCGCAGGTTTGCAATGTAATAGCTTGAATCGCTCGCGCGGGATTTATCCCCGGTATTGAAATCAGCCATTAGCTTCTTGGTTCACCTCTTGGACCTATGCATGACCCCAATATTGTTTTATTCGAAAGCTTCAGATTATCTAAAATCAATAAACTGTGAGCATTTTCGCAACATTCAGCTGATCTCAATTTGATGGGGGAATTTCGTACTGGAAATAAGCCACGGATACGTTGCAACGCAACGAAATGAGGAAAGGGCTCAAACATGATTATAAATTGAAAAATATTCCATCATTTGTATACGTTCATTGAATACTAACACTGAACTATATTCTGGAAATGTTTTCAGCACCCATCCTATGTTCCGATGTGCAAAATGTGTCGCAGCTTCGAGCATGTGCTTTGGCAAATTTTCAAGCGTTATTTTTGGAATTGCCGGATAACCTCCGTACCCGAGGAGTCACGTTGATCAACGGCACATCTCCACAAAACTTCACCGTGATGACCGACGTCGAGGTAACTTTGCATTAAAATCAAATTTTACTGAAATTCTTCAAATTTCATGAACTCGTTTAATTTCAGCTGAAGAACGCCGTTTCTTCGTTCAAATCACTCGTGCTAGTCCAGGCAATCAAACGAGGAGCTGACGCGGTTTTGAAGGATGCAGCGAGCTTCATGTCCCCGGAGAGAATTTCGCTGGCTATGACCATAGCGAAAGCGGCCAAAAAAACGTTCAACGCGGACGGGGCGAATCAAATCATGAACGTTTTCGTTCAGTTTGTGAAGAAAAGATTTTCCAATTCCACAAGTTTGACTGCAGAAGGTAATCCAACTAATGAAACGCAAGCTATCCCTTTGTACTGTCATCGATTCCAAAACGCACCTTGGATTCCCAGCCCATCAAGCTGTTCTAAGCTTAATCGCTGGATAACCCTCGGCATTTGACTCTTACATTAAAACACAAAGATAGTCCATGGCACTAGCTGAACTGGAAAATATTCACTAATTTCTACGTGATAAAATGCACTCGGGCACGTTGCAATTTGAAACATTTAAGAAAGGCTCACTTCAATCCCGGTCATCCCGACGAATTGGCTTTATTGAAAGGAATATTACGGGTACCTGACCTAAAATCTTCACTTGAGGAAAAACGACCGAAAAATGCATGCACTACATATTTTTGAATGATGAAATCTCTTTGAACAGCAAAGTGTATGGGAACCGCTCACTCAATTTTTTTCGATACATTTATTTTAATGGATATTGTCTGGACTACGAAATGCTTTTCCATGGAAAGATACTGGACGAAAAAGTTATCTGATGTTTGTACAAATTTGCAATTTGCAACCTTACTTTTCTGCATCTGTGTTTAGTTCAGTTCATGATTATCCCAAATGGTAGAATTATTCGACGAGTGAATGTGCCATCAACCGGTTTAATTTATGCATATCTCGAGACTAATCATAAAGTAGCATGTTTCTCGTGAATTTAAAAATCCATGGAAGGAACTCTCACTGCTGTCATGCACTATTCGAGTTCCTAGTGCTTACTCTAATTACAGTGCAGTACTTTGTTTCTCTGTGCATGCGAAGGGGTGCTGAGCTCTGCTAAAGGTGGCTTCGTCTCGGTCATCGAATCGACGTTTCCTCAGAAATTCGACGCAATATTCGCTCAAGAAAACTCGTCAGAAACATTAATTTTGAAGGACACGATTTGCGAAAAGGCAAGTTTCGTGAAACTTGGGGCTATTTTGACACTGGGTTTACCAAGAGACTGTTTTACCATTTCAGACTCGGCAACAGCTATCGATTTTGAATGCGAAGCTTGAGGCGTGCGCAGTCGCCAATATATCCGGGAATGCATCTTATATTCGAGCCTTCGTTACGACATGGTATACAGAGAACCCAGGCTTTGTCCCGGGAAAAGATAATTCTTCTGAACTAGCGACGAAGGCTCTGAGTCGCGTGTCTGCGATCGGACTGAGTCCAGTCTCGAACACCACATTCAGAACGAATTCGAGCAATTTCAACAATAACTCTCGATCAGGTAATAATTTATTTCAGGAATTACTGTAGTAGATTGCGTTAAATTGAAAAAAAGGTAATGTCTTCTAACCTGCGGCAAATGTGACAGATTTTATTAAAGTGAATTTAAGATGCAAAAATAAAGGCTGTCAAGTTGGGATACCTACACGAAACGTATCTAATCTGCTTCGAGTTCCTGCTACTGATAACCGGAATGTGGTTTTATAACCAGACTCTTGCAATGGTGTCAGCGCAAAAACCCGGAGAGCAGTTTGTGTGATCCAGCAAATCTTCAGCGGAAATGCGGAAACGATTTCTTCGTTGCTGCAAATGGCTGGTCTTATGAAGCAATTTTTGGGGAAACCGTTGCCGCTGGAAACGATGTCAGAAACTGAGGTGAAGAATTCTTTGATGTATTCTTATTGTAAAAAGAAGGGAACAAAACAGAAGCAGGACATTTCACGATCAAGTAAAAATATCTTCTATTAAACACGGGACTTTGATATTATGCGGTCGTTCTTAAGGCTTATGGTTGATTCAAACGGTACTACCGTCGAGTAATTCTGACAGAAATCTTCAGTTTAGAAGAAGTGCGACCTACACTCGAGCGAATGCGATTATTGTATTTGCAGACAAGCGGGTCAGAATAAACAGTTGAACCTCGAAAACATGAACCTCCCTATATAAGCCGAGTACCCCTGTACATGTCGACATTTTGCAAGTCCCTGTCTGAATTCCTTCAGAATGAATGCATGAAAAACCTTCTTAACTCGAAGGCTCTCCCCTCAAACCTGCATAATATGCGCGAATTTTCCGGACGCCCGTTGGCTATTATTTTAATGACACAGGTATATAGGAAAAAAATCAAAATCTAACTTTGATCTGCTTCGAAAGGAAGTGGAAGATTACTTAGGCAAATGAACCATTGCCTTCAAGTTCTGCATCCTGTCAACTTATTTAAAAAGCGATTTAAGGCCCAGATCATAATTGCAATTTTTCCTTTTTTTAATTCCCCTCGACAAGAATGCTCATTTCCCCAACTCTAAACCTCCATAACTCAATTTTTTACTGGTTCCTTGAAGTTCACCTGTACCGCGTACATGGCGATGTATTGCATGTTTTCGGCTCATGCACAGGTGTAATGATTCATCAAGAATATATAACTTTGCAGTTGATTGCTGGGTTTGCCACTACGAAAGCCGTTATTTATATGATCAGAGCCGCGCGTTCCGATGGGAGACCGGCTCCGCGGAACATCGACGAATTTTTCTCACCTGCGCTGACTGAGTCTGTTCAGTCCTACATGACTTCCCAGGGTTTGCCGTTTAGCCTGACTGCTGCACGAAAAGTGGCCAAGTCGGTGGATGACATATTCAAATCCACCCCGGCATCCGACCCGGAAGACCCCACCGGATCATTGATCAGTTCGAAAAATAAATTTCGAGGTTCCGGAAGAATAACGCGTTGTCTATAATTATTTATATTTTTTTCCAGGCGCAGTGAACTCGGCATCCCCGGTGATCAGGAGGAATATTACCATCAAATTCGCGAATGAGTCTTACCTGGACGCTTTTGCTGATTGGGCTAACGCCTCCACTAAGGAATTGGTGCAAAAGATAAACACACATGTGAGTCACGTCACGACCAACAGCTTGCAAGTTCATATCCGAATTTAGAGTGAGCTTTAAAATGTTGGTACTCATATGGTAGTTGAGAACCGGGATTAAGACAGCCGGCGGGGATCTCTTGGCATTCATACCTTCCCGGATTTGGAGAAATGGGACCACTGTTGTCGATGGCAGCGTTGTGTACGACCCAGCGATAGCTTCCGGAGATGCTGGTGATCCTCTGACCGCCATGCTGCAAGGAATGAGGACCACAAAACGATTGGGGGACATGACCATAGATGCCGATGTTACCACTGCTCAAGGTACCCCAGATCAATCATGAATACAGTTTCCACAGTATGTTATCTAAGCGCTGTTATTTTTGTGCGTGACAGAATTCGTTCCTTGTGGGACTTCAGTCAACGCGACTCACAAGTATCTTTGCTTGTGGAATCTTTTCACTACGAAAGCCTCGGTTTCTCAGATGAAGGAAATCGTAAATTCCATTGGATCATCAGCTGCTAAGGTCTCTACTAATGCATGGACGGATGGAATGGTAATTGACCTCGAAAAATTCCTGGAATTCCGAAACATGGAAAATTTATGCTACTCAAAAAATAGATTGCTTCTGGGATGGAAACATTACAAGCATACGTAGGAGGGTGCCGAGCCAAGACAAGAACAGCTGCATTCAACTTCACCCCAAGTAATTTCTTGGAAGACGGATCCGTCGCTACTGAAGCTAGTTCAATCCTTGAATTCAAAAACGTCACACGAGACAACGTGACTGCAACTGTTTTGGCGGGACTTTTGGAAAATTATCTCAAGAAATATGATTCGTCATTCTCTTTTTCGGGTAAGTATTCATTTTGCTCATCTGATTCCTGCCAATCGTGAAAATACATCTCAGTCTCCCCGACGAGATTCGTCTTAAACATGCTGAATCACCTTCGGAGAGTTGGTTTTGATCCATAAAATTATGTACTCAACAAAATGCATGGAAATTAAAATTGATAAATATTTAAATTTTTAAAGGTGTCTCGAAGAAACACGGTCGGGAAGTAGCACTTGCTTTTATTTTAAAAGAGTCTGTTTGGGTGGTCGATTATTTCGAAATATCTGAGGAAACTTGAGAGTTCTTCTTGTATATGCAGCTCCCCCCACCCTATAAATGCTATAAATTTTTTTTTGATTAGGATTGCTTCATCAGCTTATTTCATTTTGAAGTGAAAAGGGACCCTATTGAGCAGAGTGTTCAGTTCTAAAATGCTGCGAAGGCAACGGTAGAGAATTATTCTCAAGAAAACCTGCTGGGACACTTGGATAAAAAATATTAGAAGGAATTTAAAGTTAGTTTGAAGCTTGTACAGTAATGAAAACAAAATATTACGGGAATTATTTCAACGTTTATTTTCCAATCAACATGATGTTACTCCGTTCAAGTAATGAAGTAAACATTAATATTAAAGTGCATTACTGTTGGTTTCCCATTCTCACACCCTTGCGAAAGACTTGCATTTTTAATCGGTGGGCGAGAAAAATTTAATAACTGACATTACCCTCCAGCTTTTGTTCATACTTCGATCAGAGTTTATATGGGTGACTCCCAAAGGATTTTGATTTTTTTATGCGGACTCGCATTGGTAAAACATGTCGGTATGACTTTTTGATCCCTTCATTGTGATGTTTATCCTAGGTGTGTGCACTTCACTCCCGCAAACGAAGCAGTCCAGTGTCTCTATGCGATTCGGGGACACGTTCATCAGTGCTTACAATGACAACAGCTCCGTCGAATTCAAAACGAAGGCAGACGAGATAATTGCTCAGGTGGGAATCCGCGAGGAAAATTGCGCTCAAACTGAGTTTCTATATATCTGACTTATATAGCTTGAGTTTCTTGTTTCGGTAATTGAAGGTTATAGCGGCAATGGCTGCTAGGAACGAGTACCCAACTAAAATATCTGTTAATAAGATGTCACCGGGTTCTATTAATGCTGATATTCAAGCATCCGTCGACTCCACTTCAACGACGGATCCATTAGTAGCTGTGAAACAAGAGGCTCTTGCATCCGGATCCTTGGGAGGGATCCCAGTTCTTGGAGGAGGTACAGTAAAATTGTCTCTCATTGATCGGCTCTTCTCAAATTTTTTATAAATGGAAAACTAGAAACATTAAAAATGTCACGTCTATCGCTTCAATCTAGACGCAAGAAAGTGCCAGAAAAACAGGTTCAGTATGGTTTTGAAATGATTCGAGATCATTTTCAGGACTGTATTTTTCCTCAGCTGGGAATTACGGAAATGCAGTCAGATCCATTCGGTCGTTCTGAGAACGACCGAATCTTGAAAATGCATTACGCAATCAATATACCGTAAATGCGGACTTCAGCTGATAATCTTGAGTTTTAACATGGAACTTACCGTAAAAAAAATACTTCAATTTCCGAATTTTTCATCCAGGGAACATAACGTGCTCAAATGAATCGACGAACTGCTCATGCTTCTGGTCCTATTGGAGAGCGATCGACACAGCCGCGGAATTTGCAGATATCGCAAAGTTACTTCCAGCCTCTGATGCGCTGACGACGGTCCCAACAGAAGCAGATTTCACAATCGTAAGCATACTTCACCGGAATCTAAAAACTAAGCTATTAGAAGGTTATCTATGTGTACCCCAGAAAATATTGGAATAACCGAATATCACAAAGGGTTCCCGATTTTCATGCGGAGTAAAATCTTTGAAAATTTATCACACAGTAATTCGAGGGGGAAAATGCGTAGTCAGACGACCAGATCATATAAGATTGAACGTGCTTTTACAGAAATCAAATGATTAAAAATGTTTGAATAACTAAAGGTATATTTTTGTGTGAATTGCGTGAGGAAATTATTCACCCCTCATCAGAAAATGTCACAGTCCGCGGTCAACGGAGGGATGATAAAATTTGAAATTGCCGTCATTTACGAATCATTTTATGACTAATTCATGGTTTTCATGCAGATGAGGGAGGGATTTTCTAAAATGGTGGACATTTACCGAACCGTTAAGGCTGAGACTGACGTGACGAAATGGAAGAACGTGACGACCATCGCTGATGTTTTTGACGACTCCGCCATCCAAGCCCGTGTTTCTGGATATTTCAGTCTAACCAAAAATGCAACTTACAATAACGCTGGTCCGAAAAAGTTGGCCGCTTCTTTGAACAGTTTCATCGGAACCAGCTTTCCTGGTACTGATCTGTCACGTAAGTTTTTTTTATCTGAAATGTCTGAACGGAATTTTCAAGAACACTTGAGCTGAAAATTGCTATTTTAATTCAGAATGCCTCACCGAGCTCCGAGTTCCACTGCAAAAATCCGTTACCTATAAATTCGCGATGGACTACAAGGACACGTACGACGATTCTAACAGTCAGGATTACAAGGACTTCGTCAACCGCTTTATGACTAACGTATGTTTAATGAATATGCTTTCATGGGTGTCGGATGCATCAATCGTTTTCCAACAGTTCAAAAGTGAAGTAAGCTCCAGAGGCGGAACCGTGCTGGACATGACAATACTGCGTTTGACGAGAGGCTCTACCGTTGTCGACTCCACTGTCACTTACACCAATTCCCCTGCCGCACCCGCGGATCCAGTCGATTCGACCACTTCTTCCTCAAATTCCTCATCATCCCTTGGTGACATGCCCGTGAACTGTGAGCATTGCAAATGTATCTAAAATGGTGAAAATTAGATGTATGCATAGCATGTACAGTACTACATGCAGGTTATTGTCACTGGCGGGTCGATCGTAAATTCGAACGAAACTTGCTCGAGAAGCGTCTTTGTGGTCTCGCTGAGCTTTGATTTAGGGTCTTCAATGTTTGGTTCACTTGGAATATTGGACGATTTAGAACTTCTCGAATGTATCTGCTTGAAGAAAGCATTGAAAAGAAAATTTGAGCCGTTGCTTCGAACTGTACGAGCTGGTCAATATTACGAACTGATTTCTTTGCCGATCAAGCGGACCGGTATGAAGTTCACGAATGTAGTTTCATTCTTGGAGCAATAGGTGTCGGTCAAACGCAACGAAAAGCTCGCCTTGAACATTTTCTACGCGATCACGCTCCGCTTGTGATGATAATAATAATTATAACAATAATAAATAAGCATGTACATTACAGTATTGTTTTAATTTTCGAAGAAAAGTATACTGATGAATAGTCAAAATCGAGCTTATGACTTTCATTAGAAAGTTTATAGAAAAGAAGAGCACAGCCACTTCATGTAATGCACTCCCACCTGTCCCATCGCAGCATCGAGTACTGTGACTGAAACGACGACCACGTCAACCACTGTAGCATCGACCACATCGGTGTCAGGTTCATCTGCAACTGGCATTGGTAGCACAATCAGTGCTGGGGCTACAGCAACCACAGCCAGCGGTGTTACAGGGACAATAAGTACAACCACTAGTGGAACTGGATCAACCACAGTGATGGCAGGTGGAGCATCAACTACAAAAGCAACTACTGTTTCTGGTGCATCCACGACTGCTGGCGCCGGATCAGGATCTGGAACAGCGACATCTTCAGCTGCTGCCTCGGGAACATCAACTGCAACCGCAGCAGCATCAACTACGAAAGCAAATACTGTTTCTGGTGCATCCACGACTGCTGGCGCTGGATCAGGATCTGGATCTGGAACAGCGACATCTTCAGCTGCTGCCTCGGGAACAACAACTAAAACCACAGCAACTTCTGCTGGTGGCACAGCTACAACAACCGCTACCAGTAGTGGTACGGCGACCACCAAAAGTGCGAGTGGAACTTCGGCAGCAGGAGCCATAACTACTGCTGCTGGAACCACCGCGATCACTACACAGCATTCCATCTACGCAGGTGGAAATAAACAACATTATATTTAAGCTGGTACCAGCAAGGGCACTTTACTCCACTAATTGCGATATTAAAATCGAGGCGTGCAACAAGTGTACGAAGTTGCTTGGATTTTTCACTAAAAGATTAAGATGGAACATCGGGTGCGAGCCAAACACACAAGGAAACAGCGTGATAGGATTTTGCAACTAAAATTTCCAAAGCTTAAAACAAAAACAAACAAACAAAACAACGAATAATGGAAAACTTAATAAAATGGGTATTAATCCAAATGAAAGATTTATTTCAGTCCAAGTTTAATAATAAAAATACGGTATTGCATCATAGATTTTCTGATTTTGAACTTTCGAATAAGGGAAAAATAAATCCTGCGTACCCATTATACTTATTCATACTCATCAGCAGTTATACTAAGCGCGTGAATACACTACGGTGAATGTCATCAGGGACACTCATTATGAATCACTGCATTTTTTTTTTCGTGAAATTTGTGTAGACGACCCCTGCGCGTCCAAGGAGGGTTTAGATTTTCACCGATGCGTGTGGGATTTGTTCAGACGGCTTGACACACAAGATACTCTCGTCGCTGAAATTAACAAGCTTGACAGCAAACCACAACTCACCACGGTACAGGCCTGGAATGAAAGCGACGTAAGTTTTCCTCAAGCTTAAATTGAACTGAAAAATCTATTAAAGTCTCAAGTATACGGGCTAGTAACCATAGCCTCCCTTGAAGTAATCAAAAATGGATAAAAGTAGTCAAGCGTGGAAAAAATTGTCTTCAATGAAGTGTCGTGGATCTGGAAGAGCAACACCTATCCCAAAAACAAAAAAAATCAGTGTCGAGCAGTGGAAGTTCGCATCGTTCACTTCGTATAGATCCCTTGTTTTTTTTCATTTGTATATAGTATTTTGTTCGCCTTTTTTGCTTGCTGTCATGTGGATCATAATTCACGTCAAATATAAGTGAATAAACGGGCTCAAGTTATAAGGCCAATCTGTTTTCATCATCGATAGTCTTGAAAGTTGGATATGGTTAACTAGATCCGGATGATCGAGAATTCGAGAATTGTTTATTTCCACCTAATAAAAGGAAGGATATTTGTTAATGTTTCATCTTGGAATTGGCGGTAATTTTCCAGGTATCGTCAGCTTTGTACAGCTTTCAACATCTAATCGTTGCTCAGTTACGAAGAAATCTGCTCCCAGCGACAGCTAAAAACTTGACCCAGCTCTCCGATTTGTGGAGTTCTGCTGTGGTGACAGATGCCACAAAGCAAATGAAGGATGAAAGGAATATGACTTTCAACTTGGATCGCGCCAAAGTTTTGGCCGACATTTTCGATAAGCGAACTACTACAGTCTACGCTTACAGAAATATGACCGGAGCCAGTAATTCGATATAGACGCTCATGATTAGAGTTTCAGCACTAAATTGCTCTGTTTCCAGGGGAAATCAATGGACTCAGACCGGCGGCTTCACGACAAGCGTCATTTGAGATCAACCGAGACTTCAAGGATGTTTATGCAGATTTGCGGAATCCAGAAACTATGCTGTTCATCGCCGAGATTTGCAAAGCAGTAAGAAGCTGTGTCGAGAATATTTTGTGGGCGTAACATTAGGATGAGATAATAATATATATGATAGAATATACTGTAATATTATTTTTGAGATTAAAGCCCTTATATGACACTTCAATAGAGCTTACAGTTGGATTTTTTTCACCTGGACATACGCTTGAACACTTATTTCATATCTCATGCATGTACTGTACTTTAAAGAAATTTCTTCGCATTGAGCGTCGGGAATTTCATCGAATTTTATTTTCTCGTCATTTGTTTCTGTACAATAAAATCGAATGTCAGCAAGTTGACATCGATTTTCTGGTGCTTATGAAAATGTTTCCGATTGAGTATAGAAGTGTGAAAACTGACCTTGTTCAGCACCATCATGCAAAATTCAAATCGTATTTTCTGTAGATAACTGCCACACTGGATGCTAACAATGGAAAACTGATAGACTGCATTGTACTGAGACTCCGGAAGGGTTCAACGATTGCAGACGTGAAATTGGTGTACGAATCAGACCCTCTGGCTGCGGATCAAGTTGGTTCACCGGATCCCGATGTCATGGATGCGAGTATCAACAGTATCAAGACGTCTGGAAAAATTGGATCTCTCCCGGTCGATCCGAAAACTCTTGCCATGTCATGTGAGGGCGTTTGCATCATTGAGAATATTTTAAATCGCAATACTGCAACGCATTGATTTTTCCTCCACAAATTTGAGATAAGGAATGCTCTTCAGCTTACTGTATTTGTATTACGGAATGCAGATGCCCGTCGCTTTAATAGATTTGAATGAAGACCAGATATGTTCGGGAATCGCAGCTCACAATAGTTGTTCGCAGTGTTAAATCAAATAGGTCTAAAGTAGTACTGTATATTCTTTTGTTATTCCGCCTGGACTGTGGTATGCTACTAAACATCCAGCCAAGTCGAACGTCGATCCAGCTGTCGAGGAGGGTAAGAAAAGTAGAAAAAATTCTCAAAATTCATTCGTGCAAAAAGCATATGTTCTTTCGCAGCCCGGATCATCAAGGAGCTAGAGGAGCGAGACCGACGCTTGCTTATGACAGTAACATTGCCAGCTTTTGTCGGTAAGAGACAATTGCATTTACTGTATTGTATAATGGAAATTCAGCGTTCACAACTTCACCGAAGCATTTCACTGACAGGGATCTTTAATAAATCAATTGAAGAAAAAAATCGATAAGCTTCTCATGTCGATGTGATGAGGTTTCATTAATAAGGAAAGTTTCAACAGTTCCCTTCCTCTGGACTTTTTTTCTTTTCACGAGAGTGAAACGGAGCAAAATTCATCTCTTTTCAGGGATTACGTTCGTGGTGTTCCTTTTCTTAGTCTGCACGGGAAAGCTCGGAGCGTGGTGTTGCAACGCTTGTTGCATCCGAAACAAGCAGGAGAAGCTGGTTTGATACGACGGCACGCACGTATTTCTTGTCCCTTTGGTTCTCTCGACAATAGCAATGCGCTCGGAATTGAGTCACAAAATAAATGCACTCGTCGTACGCCACGGCTATCATGAATGATGGACGACTACATGGACAATAAAAATAGCGAGACAATTTTTTTAAAGAAGACTCATTTCATTGTTCACGACTTCAACATACGGTTTGTATGTTCTTAACAACTGTAAACAATAGAAACGAGTGCAGACGTCCGACCGACAAAACGACTTCGTCACCAAAACAAGAGAATACCTAGGCAGTTCGAGAATTTCTGCACGAGAGCATATCTTTGGTTGAGATTTCCGGAACCTTCCATTTGAACACGTGATGAAAATGAATACATAATTCGAGACCATAATTGTGCAAGTGATAAGTTCGAGGGACGATTCATGAGATGCAGCACTTTCATTTCCAGAATGAGTAACAGCGCGATTTGCACCACAAGGGGTAATCAGTAAATAGCTCTTCCTTGGAAACGCTTTTAGTACAAAGACTCGACTTGCACAACGGCATATGACATACTGAACGAAGCCTCCAGAATAATTTCTCTGATAAAGGGATCCATCCAAGTCATACTGACGGATTTCCACCAGGACTACACGATCAATGAGTAATCCGCTATCACAAACTTCTGGACTGCAGCGATTAAAAAAAAATTATAAACACAATCTCCTTAATTAACCTCGGCAGAAAATCGCGAATACTTCCGGGATTGTCCGACTCACTCCTCACTTCAACGTGCGATCCCTTTCTAAAAATTTCTTCACCGTTTGAGCAGTATCAACGAAAATTTCGAAACGGTGCTCTGAACACATTCTGATTCTCGTAAAACCTTCAACGGCTTCTAAAAACAGAGGAAAATACAAAAAACGAACACAATCGGGACTTCAAATGGAAACGCAACTTTTTTTTTCTTTAGAAAATTTCGTAGTAAAGCTTAGTTTACATATGACACTCACTTCACGTGAGTTTCTCGCTTCCTTCCCAACCTTCACGTGAAGTTCCAATCGAAATGGCCAATATCGGCAAGGGGAAATCGAGATCTGGTGACTGGAAAATAATGCACAACGATTCAGCTCCCAACATCACTAACGGAAGAAAATCCAATTTCTATGTAGCATAGAATATATCATTTCATTCCATGTAATTGACATTATTTATGAAAATAACTTCCTCAAAAAGAGAAAACCTGTCATTTCCATGGGATCGTAGAACTGATTTGGATCTGCAACACCAACACAAAAGCATCAAATATTGGTTTGAAGAAGTGCACTGTGGAAACAGTGGAACTTCTCTCTAGTACTGTGTAAAACGTTGTGGGCACGCATTTTCATTTCAGCTCCCTGCAGGTGGCTTTCCTTCAAACAAACCATTCTCCCTTTTGGCGCAATGTTTTGCTGCAATCGAGAGGCTAGTAAGAAACAAAGGATTCGATCAATAATTTGAAACATTACCTTGAAGATGGGCTTACATGCCCAGATGGAGATCCGTGTACCCCTTGAACCCCATCCCATCTACAGGGAGCGCGGCATTTCCCATCCTTGGCACAGAGGTCATTCCAATCAAATACATGTCTTCAGCTGTTTCCCGGGCTTGCCTATTACCATTCCCTAGGAAAAATGTTTTCGGTAAAATATACATCAACTGAAGAGCATTTCTTTCGAACCTTCGTAAGACATCATTCCAGCCACTTGCTGATTGAATCCTGTACCGCTCGGGTATGACATTTGGTGCATCTGAAGTTGGCTCTGCGAATCAGTACTCCTTGGATGACGACGAGAACACTTGATAACAACCACGCTACAGCATATCAGCAGTAAGCCTCCTACGCCAACCGCTATCGCTATCAATCCGTTCTTTCCCACCAGCTCCTCCAAATTTCCAGCAGAAACTGAAACAAAATTAATTCCAAAAGTGTTTCGGTACAGGCAACCAGTAGTGACACGTCCGAACAATTCAGTGGGATAACCTTATCGAAAGAAGTCAGCTTTTCCTATCACGTCGATAAATTAAGACGATCTTAGGTTCGATTTAGTACTCACCAGGGCATCCTGCACTTAAAGCTTCATCAGAGCCGTCATCACAGTGCTTAACACCATCACACACCAATGCAGAGCTGATACAAGCGGTACTTCTCAAACATTCAAAACTGCGACAATCAAAAGTGCCAGGCTTCTTGAAGGCAGTGATAACCATTCGGAAACCGAAGTCATCCAGTCCTTCCCGATCAGTAACAAAAACTACGGTGAGATAATTCGAGGGAATCTGTACGGATCCAACGGTCGATGGAATATTTTTGCAGCTTAAATGCAGCTGTAATGGAATAAAAACTTGTAGATCAAGAATAAAGATTATCGGAAAACACACGCTGGGTTTTTTTTTTAACCTTTGGTTCAGAATCAGAATGATCACTGTCGAAGATCATCAATTTGTCGTTGCAATCTAATCGAAGATGATCAAATCGGATCATGAAGTGCTGAAGCGCCGTTCCGGTCTGAAACGTAACCTTGCAATTCATGTTCGGGTCAGAATCAGACCAAAGAACAATTCCTGTGGTGATCATCTCACTCTGCCCCAACCAGTCTTCCTTGCAAATGGAATGCAGATTGACTGCAACAGAAAATTTATATGTCACGAAATAAACTGAAGAAATATTCGAAGATAGATGGCTCACTGATTTCATTAGGCTCCTCGGAACTTCCGAAGACAGGATAGTATAATATTTCACATATTTCTACTAGGAAGAAGAATTTGATGAAATAATGAAGGCACTTGAAAATCAGGTTCGGTCTTGCTTGCCGGGCTGGCTTTGACAACAGCGTGCCGGGCTGTTGCAATTGCAAATCATCGCGCTCGCACACCAGCCCCATGTTCGGGCAACAGTTACTACGTCTGTGTAACCCATTCAATTGCCACGTTGTTCCCCTGCAAGAATAAAAAATCATAGAAATATCATTGCGATTTTAAACCTTTATCGGTAAATGCCTCGTTTTCCAATCGCATCCGCCACGTTTCATAAATGTATAGACCACGGCACATCCAGAATCACAGTAAACAAAAAGTACATCCCTAACCTCCGTCAGGTTCACCAAACGTAACCAAACTCTACAAAACCTTCGCATTCAATGTCAAGGAACTCGCGTCCTCAACCAGCTCTCGCGAGTTCGTCACCGTAAAACTAGATAATCTATAAAAACGAAAATTAGAAGTAATCACAAGTGTTACTCGGCTCTGAAAGACACCAAGGCGCACTTCCTGTTCAGTGGTTACGGATGCCCACCTTCCCAGAGGAGTTTCCACAAACACACGCCGTTCACGAGTAATCTGTTGGATGAGGCGCGGCCATGTTTATTTGTTCAGAAATGCGACGATCCGCGAGGATCGCTCTTCCCTTAAGTAATTCAGAATTCGTCAGCGCATTGGTTTATTTTTTTGTCCCGCACAGTACAGTACAGTACGTGGATAATTATTTCCGCTGCGTGATGTGTGTGTGTACAATATTTCATTCAGAACTTAAAAACGGATCCCTGTCAGAAGATTGGATATAAATAAAAAATCTGCGTACTGCAGCTGGACGGATATCACGAATGACAGCTTTTTTTTCTAATTTGATAATTTTGAATGTAATACTGATTTTACTGAACGACTCGTCGGAAGTCGCTTTTGTTATTGTTTCCTACAACAACAAAAATATTACGAATGCAGCATGCGTGATGAATTGAGAGAAAAAGTCCAATCAAGGTGCATAAATTATCTCACAAAGAATTAGCGTGCTCGTTTAGAAAAAGCGTGAATTCGTGTAACTACGTGCAAGCATCATCATTCATTTTGTAAAATATTCGCTGCAGATGGAACTTAATTCAAGGTGAACTCGATTGCACTGACTTGCGAATACGCGTTTTTAAAATGCGTAACAGTGAAGTACATTCTGGATTGCTATCGGCGCAGTGACGCGTTTTCTTCGGCGAGTTGATGGAAACCCTGCAAAACTAGCCTGAGGACATCCTGATGTATTAGTGATATCACGGAAAGTTACGAGGCGACCTTCTGATGATAATTCAAACGTTCGGAGCGTGATCAGCACAGCGCGGACCAGAAGGAAATGTATGATCAAAACCGAGAGCGGGTTATTGCAACATAAATGGCTGACACTGCATTAGAACACATGACTGGCACAAATTTCCCGACGGAAGATTAATCTCGGTCGATCCGGGTCCGTTCGATTTTTATCGCACAGCTGAAAATTGCATATTATAGAAAAAGAACAAGCATAAAATTTGATGGAGCTCGGGAACAGTTCCCTGATTCTTCTCTTCAGCTTTCGCTATTATACGATCACAATATGTTTGGGACCTCCTACGGCGAGAGCCGAGCTTTCGAGTTCTTTCCATTCACCTCGATTATTTCCGATCAGGAATTTACGCGGACGGAATATGAAAGGTTAATCGATGATAATAAATTATGTTTGAATTTCCATGAGCTGAACTTCGTAATTCAGTTTCATGTAATAGAGTTGTCCATAAGTTCTGGCGGTCTCGAAGCTGTCGCACCCTCGTTGCATGAATGCAGGTGGACTTAATGCCGACGATAGAGTCGTTTGGCAATAGACCATTTTTCCAATTCTTGCTTTTTTTGGTTGGTATGGATGGCAGAGCGCTGGAAGTGCTCTCCTTCACTTGGAGGAAACTTGGTACGTGCCTGCACACTAACATATTTTGCTGATTTGCTGGAAGGATAATTGCTACTAATTAAAGACTTCAAGTAATTCAAAAATTTTTAAATAATGTCCTAAAGTGATACTTTTGATGAACAAGAAATCACTGAAGTCTTGCCTGCAACTGAAGACAATTTTTAGGAACGAACTGAGTGAATCTCACATGCAAGTACAGTATGGTATAGCAAATGCAATAATTCTATTTACGTCGGTTCAAAAGAAAGCGACTCGAAAATTCAGGTTTCCAAAAAGGTACACTTTAATGTGACCACGAAATTAAAGAAACCCTATTGCTTGTATAGTAATATTGAAATTTTACAGTATGATGACTTCAAAAAATGTGTTGCATTGAAACGAGTTTTCAATTTGTAATAAAGCAAAAAAATCTCCTGTTGCATGTTTGCCGATTGAAATTTACCGCGTAACCTGTTATGGAATTTCCAAAAATTTTCCGAATTTTGGATGACTATACTTTCAGATATGACTTTCTGAAAGGGTCTTTGACATTAATTTGATGAACTCGAAAATGCTTATTACCGTGCGGAATTGTGTATAGTGGAATTACTGCATAGTGGAATTCTCCTCGTACTGTAGCTCAGTTTTTTCCTCGACCGATGCTTCGCGTTATTTCAAAAATAAACTTTTTTGATTCCTCTGCCATGTCTGACTTATTTGTCAGCTCAAACGTTTTTTCCACAACCGTTTTGATTGCGGGATACAGGGATTTTCGATTTAGCGATAACTGATTTCAACGGTAACGCAGATACGCCGACAGGAAAAAGAGGGACATGTTATTTTGTCTCGGACAAAGGAAATTTCTTCGGCGCAGAGTTATTCCAAGTTCTAGGCCCGATGCTCGATGTACCGAAGCAAATGGTAGACTATTTATTTTTAGATCCTCGCTGGGTTGAAACCGATGAAGCGAAAGGGTAAAATTAGGTAATGAACACCGAGACAAGGACGATAATGTGCAGAATTCGCCGCAAAGTTGTTGCTTTTTTGCTGGTTTTTTATGCCTTCCTTGTATGGTTAAAGTCGGATCGGCACCCACATGCACTGCTATATCTTGGAGGTTATGAACGCCCACGCGACTCCCCGAGCAGTTTACCAAATGCACTCGCGACGACGAGACATCGAGTCGGAACCGAATGCCACCCAGACCATGACACGGTGGTATTTGGTACCCGTGACGCAGAACAAACTGGATTAAGCCCTACACGGGATTCCGTAATTCCAGCAGATTTGACTTCACCGATTCAATCGCCCCCGCACGACTTATCGATCACCGACTGGCCTTAAATTTGTACGCATGTTGACGCACCGCCAGCATGTCTGAAACGCACCGTCTATGTTAATCCGAGTAAAACACGATTTGTTTTCTGTCAGAAATATTATTTCTTTCCTGTCGCAGCCGAGAACCCCCCGGATTCCTTGTCACGGACCCGATAAACGGATCCGCGTACATGGCCTCAAGGCTACTTTGTCCGGATATTGCGCGAAGAACTACAGTGCAGCATAATTCGAACGATTATAAAGGTCACGTGCAATTAATACGAGCCACGCCAGATTTTTCGGTCAACTATTTTTGGTAAAATCTGCAAAGACCGTAGAAAATATTTGAATTGTAGCAAGGAATATGTGGCTAATACACGAATCAAGCAGTGATTGTATTTGATTAATAAAATGTCATAGAATTTCAAATACTGTGAAACTTACAAGCTCGGAAAGTCAGGGAATTTTGAAAGGACAAAACACCGGGAAATTAGGTCGCGGGGTTCCCTGTGCTGGCAGGATTTTTGTCGAACATATTTTCGTCATCCTTGTGCTCTTTTCATCCACATGATCATGAGTACGCATATGCTGCACCTTCTGGGCATTCTTGCCCATCCCCGAATATCTCGATTACATGCCGCACCCGAGTTTTCCAATGTTTATTTTTTTGTATAAAGGAAAGAGTGCGGCCTATTCACTTATATATGAAGTATTTTCAGTAAAACGTGCCCATACAGCAGTAACAGGACTGGCAGCTGATGTTGCTTATTTTCGGTAATGAAAGAATGATGTTAATTACCAGTATGCATCGTATAGATCGCCTCAACTGATATTATTTCCCGGAAATATTTTTAAACGAGTCCTAACTTACTCAATGCTCGTTCGTCGAAAATTATTGGAGAAAGCTATTTCCCTGTCCTCGATTAAAATTTACTTATGGCCCGGGTGGTTTGAATGAAAATCTGAGCATTATTATGCACCACCTCATTTGAATTGCACGCGTGCAACTTTCCGCCCCAAAAAGCTCCAAGAATAGCAATTATCGATAGGAGTCGTCATTAATTTCGGATGACCGTCAGGTTTCCAAGACCTGTCTTTTCGAACAAAACGTTATGTTCAGTGGATCATGTTCCCTTTGAGGCTTGTGTGTGGTGATTCGACCTCAGGGTTATACACGGAATCGCCCGGCATTAATGACAGCACGTTGACTTCAGGAAGGAAACGGTGCTCGAACGACCTTGTTCGCTCTTCAACCGTAGTTCCACACACGTAGGGCTTTCTTGTACGGAATAATCCTTCCACGGTCCATCAGCCATTGAGTCTCGGGAATGATTCAATCAACAAGGAGCTCTGTCGACTCAAGTGTGACGATTCAATTCGACGCTGCGGGGCAAGAATGAATCGAAGAAGACACGCGAATCGCGAAGGGCGGCTCGCGGAACGCGGTTCAGGGGCAAGGTCGGTTTTCCCCTCACTGGAAACGAGACAGTTAGAACAGAGCGATGCTTCTCAAACATGGTTAACAGACTATAATACGGAGCGTACGTGGTACATCTCTATGAACATGATCTCGTTATTTGCCTCTCAATTAGCCATGTCACTCATCCCCAACACCCCCGGGCTGTCCGTAATTTCTAACAGAATAACCCTCGTGCACCGTGGCTTCCTTCGATTTGTTTCTAACTGGAGAACGGATGCTACCATCGCGTCGATAAGCATCCGGGAAAAGAAGAGAAAGACGCGTGGCCAATTTTTTCGCTGGATATATCAATTGAAACTTTTCTGGCGTTTTCTCAGGAAATTTGTTTTTTAATTATGAGTATAAACAATGATTTGTTATGCCGGGAATGCTCTGATATACTTAATGCAATTTTATAAATAATATTTGGATGAATCTCTAGTTTTAAAATGATGTTTCTGAAGTGGAGAATACAGGTGGACTCTCTACAACGCGACGC